TAATGTTATGATATCTCACATTTATTATTATATTTATTAAACTCTTTATGTTTTCTATCTACTGAGTTTCATTGCACGCCGCCCGGGGAGCGCGGTGCGAAATGCCCAGTGCACCAACAACGGGCGGCTTGGATGGGCAGCACAAATTATTGCAGCGGCCGTTCTTCAGCGTGAGTTTCCTGAAACCGAAAAGGAGCCACGTCCATTTTCTGAAAGCCCCCACTTTCCAAAAAACCCCGCTTTCTGAACCCCCAATGGAAAACACCCAACGTGTTCCGCGCATGTCCGCCAGCCGGGAAAAGCATCTAATAAACAGGCCGCGCGCAGATGTCGCCCGCCAGCATCAGCGCCGCAGCACCACAAATGGGCACCCCGCCGGCAGTCCGGCAAGCCGGCAGAAACAGGACCAGGCCCCGCCAGCAGCCAGCAGCCAGCAGCCAGCAGCCAGCGGCGCCCAAACAGGCGCCGGCCAGGGCTGGCGGCGTCACGTGACCGGCGGCCTCTGCGCATCGCGAAAAAAAGGCCATCGCATCCCGGCCCAGAGGTCCGGAGGTCCAGCCAGTTTCGCCTTTTGCACCCAGACTGTTCAACCCGGCCACCCTCCAGCTCGAACCCCCACAGCACACCATGTCGGGGCCTCTCATTGTTTCCAAGTTCGACCCCTCCAACACGCACTTGGCCCTGGCCGTGCAGGCGTTGGACACGCACCAGGTGAAAGTCCAGGCCTTGGTGGTCTCGCAGCACCTGTTGAACACGCTGTTTTCGCTCAGCAAGGGCCAGCACGTCTCCGCCTTGGAGTGGCTCTCGGCGTCCGAGCTAGCGGTGTGCCTCACCAACGGCTCGGTCCTAGTATATACGCCCGCCTCCAACAGTATTGCCGGGGAGCTCCGCAGCCCCTCCAGCGCGGCCATCACCGACCTCCACTACTCGCAGATCACCGGCACGGCGTGGGCCGCCGACGCCGACGGCCGCTTCTACGAGTGGGACACGCGCTCGTGCACGCTCTTGCAGGCGTTTGCGCTCGCAGACATGCTCGACGCCGCCGAGGCCGTGTCGAAGCTCTCCACCGTCATGTACCAGGACGAGCCGCACTTGCTTGTGGGCACGCACAACGTGTACTTGGTGGACGTGCTTGCCAAGAGCATTGCCAAGACCTTCCCTGCGCACGTGCAGCCCGTCCGGGCGATCGTGCCCGTGCCGGGCGACGCCGACCTCTTCTTGACGGCCGCCGAGGGCGACCGCTTCATCAACGTGTACTCCATCTCGCGGCACTCCACGCGGGCCGTGTTGGTGGCGCCCGCGGCGGTGCAGCAGATCGCGTTGGGCAGCCACGGCGCGCTCTCGTTGGTGGCGGCCATCACCGAGACCGGCACGCTCGAGATCTTCCGGAACCCGTTGTCCTTCGAGGCCCAGCCGCACGAGGCGTCCAAGAAGAGGCGGAAGCAGCTTGCGTCCAGCGTCCAGTCCAAGCACGCGGACGCGTCCATCAAGTACTCGCGGCCCGAGGACGAGATCCGCGGCCCGAACGACGAGCTCTTGCCGGTGCACGCGGTCTCCGCCACGGCCAGCGTGTTGCACACCTCGTGGTTGGAGAGCGGCGCCGTCTCGCGTTTCGACGCCATTCCATGGCACACGCACAGCGGCTTTGCCTTGGCTGGCGCGGCCGTGGTCCGCAAAGCCCGGCAGGAAACCAGGCCCACGGCGCATGCCGAGGGCGGCCACGACGTGGCCGCGCCCAAGCTCTACCACGAGGCCGACACCGTGGTCACCGAGGGGAGCGCCTTCCAGAACGACCTCGTCCACAGCGACGACGACGACGACGAGACGTTGGCGGAAAGATTGGAGAAGCTCTCCGGCGGCAGCCAGAGACGCTCTGCCTTGGGCAAGAAGAAGCTCCGCAAACACACCGCGGGCACGTTGACGGTGGTGTTGTCGCAGGCGTTGCGCAACAACGACCACTCGCTCTTGGAGACGGTGTTGGCCAACAGAGACCCCGCGGTGGTGCAGAACACCATTTCCCGCTTGGACTCGTCCTTGGCCGTGCTCCTCTTGGACCGCTTGGCCGAGCGGATCACGCGCCACCAGCAGCGCTTCGACCAGATGAACTTCTGGCTCAAGTGGATCATCATCGTGCACGGCGGCGTGTTGTCGTCCATGCCCCACCTCCACAACAAATTGGCCAGCTTGCACGCGGTGCTCACGAAGAAGGCCAGCACATTGCCCCGCCTCTTGGAGTTGCAAGGCCGCTTGAACATGATCGAGCAGCAGAGCAGCTTGAAGAAGGAGATCATGAGAGGCTGTGCCACGCAGGACGACTACGACGACGCGGACACCGACGTGGAGTACGTGGAGGAGATCGACGATGCCGTGGAGGCGGGGCTCATCGACTCCGACTCCGAGGACGGCGACATGATGGACGCCGTGGATGACTATGAGGACGACGACGACGACAACGACGACGACGACGTCCACGCCGCAGGCTTGCCTGAAAACGACGACGACGGCCTCAGTGACGTGGAGACGGCGGTGGTGAACAATGATGTCCACGAGGAAGACTGAGCGCGGCCGCATTGAGCGCACGCTTGCGGAACGAGGCTAGCATCGGGAATCAGCCTCGGTCCCACAATCGGCCCGCATTCGAAACCACGCTCGGAAGCACGGTCCAGCCGGGCGCCGGAAAGGCCTGCGGTGGCGACCCGGCTCGACAGAGTTGACCGTGTAATCTCGAATCGGCTTCCAGCCAGAGATGACCGCATAGTCTGGAATCGGCTTCCAGTCAAAAATATCCCCAACACACGGAGCCAGCTTCGTGCCCGCCAGCCCAGAATCCGGAACCAGCTTCGCATTGCAAAGCATGGCGGGGTGCAGACACTACTTGGAGCCGGAAGCGCATAGAATCATATAAGAATACGAGTCTGACAGCAAACTGACTCGTGCGCAGGAAATACAAGATCATCTTACCAGGAAACAGCCCCCAACCGCACGTAGCCGAAATCCATCATAATCCCAGCAATTGCCCGTAGGTCTCCATTGAATATTCAGAGATATTTCGGGAATGCTCATATATTGGATGTCCCGCAGTGCGCATCGCACCAGTTGCAGTCGTGGCCCGGCTTCTGGACGCGTCACCTACTAGCAAACACAGTAGTAATCTGTCCGTCTTTCGATCAGCCAGCCATGTCCTTTCTATCCTGGCGGTCTGTATATTTCGTGAGTATCGGCCTACGCTTTGTTTTGGCACTCTCAAACTCATACATCCATCCAGATGAACATTTCCAGAGCTTCGAGGTCCTAGCAGGTCGTATGTTTTCTCTTTCCACCAGAGAACCCTGGGAATTCGGCTCACTGGCTCCGGCGAGAAGTGCCGTGCCACTATTAGTAGTGTACTACCTTCCTCTCACAATTGCCCAATGGCTTGGGCTTCTGCCTTTGCAAACGTGGTACTTGGTGCGGCTCGTGTTCATGGCCATCTCATGGATGGTCACCGACTGGTGTCTTTATAAGATGCTCCCAACAAAACAAGAGCGGATCAAGGCAATCTATTTTGTGCTGACGTCGTTTGTGTCCCTCGTGTACCAGCTGCACACGTTTTCCAACTCGATTGAGACGGTGTTGGTGGTGCTCACGGTGTACTTTATAAATGAATTGCGCTTCATCAGGACACTTCCCGAGGACCAGTACAAGACGTCCGACATCATCAACGCATCCGTGGCCATTGGCGTTTTGTTTGCGTTCGGAATCTTCAACCGCGTGACGTTCCCGGCGTTTTTTGTGATCCCGGGATTCTTCCTTCTACAGAGCTCGCTCAAATGGATGTACTTGCCTATAGTCACGACCTGTGCGTTCATGACTACGGCGATATGCTGTGTGCTTGTTGACAGTTGCTGGTTTGGCGAGACGTCGATTTCTGCCATTTTGGAACATCCATGGCTTTGGTCGCAGTACGTGGTGACGCCATACAATAACCTTGTCTACAACGCAAGCTTCGAGAATTTGGCGCAACATGGCATTCATCCTTTCTACACTCATATCCTTGTGAACGTGCCCCAAATCCTAGGCCCTGGACTCGTGCTTTTGCTTCCACGTTTCAGAAACAGCTACTGGAAAACCACGCCATTCTTATCGGCCATGAGCGGCTTGATTTTCTTGTCCTTGGTTCCACATCAGGAGCTTCGTTTTCTCATTCCTATTGTTCCCCTTCTATGTGCGTGTTTCGATGTAGCTGCCTTGGAATCTGCGTGTCAGAAGCATCCTCTATTCCTCTCGTGTGTGATGAATGCTTGGCTCATATTCAATATACTTATGGGCACAATGATGGGTGTGCTACACCAGGGCGGCGTCGTGCCAGCGCTCGACTTTTTACACGAGAACCCCCAATACAGCAGCCCTGGAAACGCACTCATCTGGTGGAGAACATACTCGCCCCCGACGTGGATGTTGGACCAAAAAATGGGCAACTTGCAGATTGTTTCAGTTGACGAGAACACGCTCTTTTTATCGTGTGATCTTGACTCACGCATAGGCAAAGCCTCGATCGATGCCATGGGAATGGAGGCTGGAAAGCTACAGGAATTGATCAAGAGCGTTTCTGCAAGATACCCAAGGGTCTACCTAATAACGCCCATAGCTTCGTTCAGCCACAAATTCAACACCAGTCAGTTTGAGGAAATCTGGAGATACAACTCCCACGTGGACTTGGATCATTTCGACCTCTCGCGCCTACAGAGCTTCCAGCCGGGACTTGCCATATACAACCTTCTATAATTGATTATTTGTATGCACACAGAGCTTACTTATAGAAATCGAACTTGTCGTGCTCAGAGCCGGTCTTCACTTGCGCGGCGTACGCCTCCTCCAAATCGCTTTGCAAAATCATGTATCTATTCTTTCTCACCGCACGTAAACCTGCCTCTTGCATGATGGCAGCAATGACCGCACCGGACAATGGGTCGTTGCGCACAATCAAAGAGTCCAAATCGGCCTCGGGAGCCAATGCCATTTTGGATGCGATCGTGGAGAAAATCAAGCGCCTTTCTCTTCGGTCTTTCAAGTTCGGAAACTCGATTTTCCGGTCCAATCTCCCGGGTCTCAACAAGGCAGGGTCCAAGGTGTCTGCTCTGTTCGTAGCCATGATGACCTTGACGTTGGAAGACTGGTCGAACCCGTCCATTTGGTTCAACAACTCCAACAAAATTCTCTGGACCTCGCGATCAGCACCAGTTTGCGCATCAAATCTTTTGGTGGCAATGGCGTCGATTTCGTCGATGAAGATGATCGATGGCGAGTTTTCTCTGGCCAAGCGGAAAACGTCACGCACCATTCTCGGGCCTTCACCCAAGTATTTCTGCACAAACTCAGAACCGTTTATACGTATGAACGATGCTGTTGTGGAGTTGGCGACAGCTTTCACCAACATGGTCTTACCGGTGCCGGGAGGCCCATAGAGCAAGACACCCCGGGGTGGATCGATACCAATCTGAGAGTATAAGTCGCCCTGCGTCAACGGCAACTCCACGGCTTCACGGATTTCCTGTTTTTGCATGTCCAAGCCACCAACGTCCGCGTAGGTGACGTCGGGTTTCTGGTTGTCTCCCACAATTGCGATCGAGGAGTCGGCTTCAGGGGGCAAAATGTCCACCAAAGCATTGGAATGGCGATGCAAGGCCACCGAGGACGACGGCTTCAACAACTCCCTGTCCAACGTGGACAAGATGCGCACAGCGTAGTTCGAGCCTGTGGTGCTGCTGACGATACCGGTATTTTCGTCTATGGGCTCCAAAAACTGACCAATGACAAGCGGAACAGACCTTATCCGCTTGACCTCCTCCTGCGCACGCACCAATTCTCTCTTCAAGTGGCGCAGTTCGTCTTTGATGTAGTCTTCTTGCAACAACAAGAGGTCCAATTCTTTCTCCAACTTCTTCAACTTCAAGTAGATGTCGGTTTCCTCCTGGGGCGCCGATTCCTTGGGCTTGAAAAACGACATTGCAGGCGCCACCGGGGGCAAGATTCCTAGTTCTTCCATATCAATATAGCTTGGTGTTGATGCTGTATGGGGATGTCAAACTGGGGATGTATGGTTTTCGGAAGGCGTAGCGGTGTGGAGACTCAAACCACTGTTTCGCGGTGGACCCGTGGCAAGGTTTGTGAACCGCACGACCAATTCTCTGGGCTGGTGCGGTGGGCTGAATTGCTGCAAAACTTAGGCACGATGACAGCAAAACGACGACGGGACGTGGCCCGTTGAACGGGCGGCGAATTGCCTTGTGTTTATTGTGCAAGGGCTTTGCAACTATGGCTCTTGTACTGCGAGAATTTACTTTGTCTAGCAGTGCGACTGGCATGTACCAGCACCATGCCCCATATTCATGGATCTCTTTATTCCTAGCTGTGTGTCTCTGTTATTAAAGCAGACGCGTGTCACCATTCTTATGAAGCTAAATCCCCCTAGAATATGGCCGTCTAAGGAAGTACACTTTTACATGCTGCTCGATCCGGCTGACAAGCAGCACGAAGAAACGGCCCTGGAGGAAGACCGCGAAACAAGCTCGATTCCACCGCATTAATTTAACCAGATCTGGAGGCTTATCTGCCCGACAAGCTTCCAAATAGGCCAGCAAAAAAAGAGATACTTAGATTTCGAAGATCGGCCCCGAGACAGAGGCCTTCATCACATTCAAGCAGCACGTCGAAAACGCCTCGCACCATTTCTGAACACTAGGGGCCACCCGGGCTGATGACCTTATTGCAGAGGTTTACGAAGCTCGCAGCCACATAAGCCTTATACGCTGCCGGTTATTCTACACTGCCATACACCAAGATTTTACGCCCTGTTGGTTGTCAGCTGTAGTTCTTACACCTAGCGTCAAAAAAAATTATTCGTATCTTCTCTGGAATTCCTAGCAAAAAATCTATGTTTTGCTTCCGAGCTGCCTGCTGGTGTCAATGCGGGTTTCCGCAGGTTGCCCCCAGATGTCGTCGGATGCGCCGGCTTGCTCACTGCACCTGGGGTCGACATGCATAGACTTTGGGGCCGCATTCCGAACAAAACGTTCATGAGCCTCACTCCATACTTTGAAACCTTGACATCACAAAACAATCTGGCCCTCTGTCTACAAGTCTCAACGGCTGTCTCCAAACAATTGCTTGCGTCATAAAGTGCAGCACGGCCGCTTTGTATCCACGTCCCCAAACCAGGCTTTACTGAGACTATCGAGACTATCGGGACTATCGAGACTATCGGGACTATCGAGACTATCGGGACTATCGAGACTATTGAGACTATCGAGACTATAGTGTGTATCAATGATCATCACCACGCCCCACATAACCAAGCTCAACTCTGTTGCTGAGGAGCTTTTCCTTTATCACATATTACTTCTGTTGGCCGGCATTTACATCGGAGCCCTCCTAATCGTCAATCTCATACCACGTCTCCGTGTCCGGTCGATCGGCTGGCTATCGCTCTGTGGTGTGACCGTGGCATTTCCCGAGGTTACCATCACTGTCAAAAAAATCTACTTGAAACTCAATCTCTCCTGGAAATCCCTAAGGGCATTCCGCTTGGCCACTTTGCAATTCAGTGGAGTTGTAATAGTGAAAAACAATCATCCGCGAAAAGCCGAACACAACACCAAGAGCGACGTGCTAGACCTGTCAATTGAGGAAATATCTTTCACGGTACCTAAGCTCGTGCATGACGTTGTTTTCAAAAAGAGCTGGCTAAACGAGATATCGCTCCAATTCTACCACGTGTCTTTGTACCACCACGCAGTTAACGAGGACGTATCTTTGCACTTGGACTATGTCAAGATCGAAAGCGCAACAAACTTCCGAAATGCCACTGGAAAGATTGCTATTTCGATTCTTGACGGCCGCGTCAACAATACAGCTAAGGGCGGCGAAGCGGCTGGACTCCACCTTTTTCATAATCTTGAAATCTCCACCAAGTGTGACCTAGTATTTTCTTGTTCTACTACGAATTCAAAACGGCTCAAAGTCAGCCTTTTGAATTTCGACGTTTTGCTCATTCTAGGGCACTTGCGCATTCGCCGGCTTTCTCAGCTTTTGGAGAGGAAGAAAGACATACAAAGAGGCCCGAAAAAGAATCCCCTGGTTCCTTCCTTGAAATCCATCTTGAGCAAGCTTTGCATGATAAGCTCTCTTCAAGTCAAACTAGAGCAAAGTGAGGTGCAATTTGAAGAAGTGAAACTTACCTCCTCCAGTTATTCGTTGACCTATTCGCGAGACATGTCTTACAAGAAGCAAACAATGGCTAAATTTTCATTGAATGTGACTGCGGCTCGCCTTTTTCATTTGGACCTGAAATGTGTGGACGTTCCCTCCATAACATATATTCTTGACATTGATCTTACCGACCTATTTCGAGCCAGCAAAACCGAGAAAAAAGAAGACTTCACAATCGACTTATTCACTACCCTCAGTATGACAAATCCATCCTTCTTTGTTTACTTCGACCAATTAGCGTACTTGCTCGATCTATTTTCCCCAGGAAGCAATGCGAAATCCAAAAAGATTTCCGTATCAAAGGCTACACTTCTATCATATCTCGCGTTCATCAAGAAGAGCTCAGTGAAATTCGTGATAGTTGACTTGAAAGCCCAACTTCATTTGCCCAAGGAGGAACAACAAGACTTTCTGAGACAATCTCTCGAGAATGTTGTAAGCGATGCGGGTGCACAAGTGCTTGCTTTCAAATTTTCTAGCAAGAATTTGGGAAATCTCATTTCAAAAAAATGTCTGTCTTCGAATCCAGCTGCACTCAAAAGTTTCATAAAATTGAGGAAAGTTTACGTGGAGGTTGAGAACAACAAGATCTTATTATCGGCTCTCAGCGTACTTGTCGGTTATTGCTTGGAAACCCACAAGATTGCTCTTCGAATCTCAACCAAGAGAATGCAGCTCAAGTCTGTTAACTCTATGATATTTCATGTGATTCGGAGAGTACGAGAAGCTAGAATAATGAGCGACATACGGGCCTGTGCAAAAATGAAAGAGACAACCGAAGCAGGGAACTCTGAGCCTGTGTGTATCAATGATGATTCAAAAAAAGAAGTGCTCGATCTTTTTGAAGTTTTACCACCGATTATACACCTGATCAAGTTTAGATCTACAGTGTTGCTGTCATACATCATATGTAATGATTGGCTACCCCTGCATGTCATACATGACGAAGGTCTAGGGGAGGATGTTGATTTAGCAGATTTCAAGAGAGGAATCTCATTCGGGATCAGTGGGTTGGAATTTGATTACGTAAGACTGGAAGCAGAATTTGAAACCCGTTTAAAACAAATCCAAGCCAACACTATAAGTGACTACAGCAGCGAGTATGTGGAAGACTTTGACAAGCGGAACTCTGACCCACTTGGAGAAGTTGAAATGTCAGATGCTTCTAGTTTGGAGTCTGGTTTCAGTGGGTTTTCACTGTTCGAAGCAAGGGAAAACGCACAGACAGTAAAAAAGGTCTTGAACATTGAAGGTATAACCCTTCGTAATCCACCGGGTAATCGAAATAAATTACTCCTTTCGATTCCTGAAGTGGAAGGAAGAGCTGACATATACTTAGTATGGTGCGTGTTATATGCGCATACATTGGTGGAGATGATAGAGCCAAACGTTGAGAACACATACACGAAAGAGGAAGTAAGAAAAGTTCGTGGGGTTTCGAAAAGGTTTGAGCTTGATGTCGAAATTGCTTCCTTAAGTGTTGTCGTAAGATTACCACACGATGTGGATATTCTTTTTGAGATCGACAACCTCAATCTACGAAATTCCATTACATCACCTCATTGCCAAATATGCTACTTAAGGCTCTACGTGGTTCACCCAACGACTAAGCTTTGGTCTCGTTTAGTCTCAGTCACAGATGTCGACATAAATTTGGACCTGGTAACTCGAAGCTCGATACTTCTCCAATCACGGGCGCTAAGATTTAACATACCATTCCAGTTTCTTGTGTACACTGTCATTGACAATGTGATTACATTCTTTAAAGCAGCCAGGCAGATCTGGATTAACTTCAAACACTTATCAAAAGATATCAGTGAATTTTCCAGAATAGAGCCGGAAGCTAAAGAAGCGATCAGAATACCTCGCATACAACTAAAGTCTAAAGTCATGGGAATAACTTTGGAAAGTGATGAGTTTGAAACTCAGCTTTCACTCATTCAACAGTTTGGCGCTGTAGAGAATGTGGAGAGAAGAAGAAAATTGGCAACATTCGAGAAAAAAGCAAAGGCCCTTCGTTCCCGCCTCAATTTATCTCTTTCCAATTCTCCTGTCGAGGACAAAAGATTTGTGAATAAAAAGGGCCATAGACGGAAGCCAAATGTTTTAGCTAAGGCACTTTTCAACACCACAAACGAAAGTGAACGGAATAAATCTACCAAAAAGACGTCAAAGTCAAGCGCACGAGAGGAGGTTTCTGGTAATGAACCTGAAAACGAGGATGACAAGTCATCCAAATCGCCAAGAGTATCTATTCTAAAGGAAGTCTTCAGTGGGTGTGATCACAAGGCTTCTCACGCAAACAGTGCCGAAAGCTTAAGTAAAGCTGACTCAAGTGATCCAGAAGTGCCTGCTCATCACTCTTTGACGGAGCCTGAGGTGGAATCATTGATTGCTGATGCCTATGAAAAATTACTTCAAGACTTTTCGAGCTCGTGGGTGAACAAATTCGAAAGATTCAAAAGATCATATGATGAGTCTTGGAGGAGACGCTTGGAAGGTATTTGGGGGTCAGACTGTGTCAACAAGCTTATGAAGTGCAAATTTGATATTCAAGAGTACTCACGTGGGCCCCCTCAATTTCAAGGCATTTTCAAAGATCTCAACTTAATTGTTGATGATCCACACTTGAACGATGTTCATGAGTTTTTGAGAACATACGGCAAGAATCAACCTCATACTCAATACTCTATTTTGGTACCTGCCAGTATTCATTGGAGAAGTTCTTCAGTTTACTTGAGTTTGAGAGATTATGCGCTACCATTTCTTTCTTTTCCAAGCAGCAGTGACCCGGAGTCTCAGGTCATGGATCTCAAGGGAACCTTGGTCATCAATGAAAAGTTGGTTCAAATACCCGAAGAGCTCCGTCATATCTTTGTACCATTTTCCCCAGCGACGAGATCACAACGCGTCGCGGACAATTTTTACTCTGTTAACGTCATTAGAACACTTACTCCTGTGAAAGTGATGTTTAATTTAGAGTCGAACTTGACTACAGACAGAGCATGTGTTGTCAGTTGGTGTAAGGCATACCAGCCTGCTCTTCTGAGCGCTATGATGGCATTTGAAAATTTCACGAAACCTGAAATCGATGACAGTCCTTTGGGATGGTGGGACAAATTGGCATTAATAGCTCACGGAAAGATCAAGTTCAACATCAAGCATGAGCTTTGTTTACACATGAAGAGTTCTATTTCACCCTACTCGCTTATTGGAAGCAGCTCTGGGCTTGTGTTTTGCTGGAAAGACAATGTGCTGTTACGGATCAACGAGACAGGTAAGCATTCCGAGCTTGTATTACTTGAGAGTGATGATTTCATATTGGGAATTCCTAATTATTCTGCGACTGAAGGACAAGCTTGGAGTCTCTTGAATGCGAATGCAGATGATACTAAGACTGATGGTGACTCTGAAACAGGAAAATTTCAGAAGCGTATTATGAAACTCACATCAGATGAAAAAGTCAAATGGTCAGCTGGATTCTTATTCGAACGAAATAAAAAGAAAGATGCAAAAGAACTTGGGGCTGATATGGAGCGCACAAATATTTTCAAGCCACATTATGACGTCACGGTAACCGGACCTCAATATGAATTCCACCCGGACTCTTACGAAGAATTCAGGTCTGATTACACTCACCTATCCATCAATGTCAACTCATCCTCCAAAAAAGGAAATTCTCACAATTTTGCGTACTTCACCCCTTTGACGCTAGAATACATTAAAATATGGTGGAAGACTTTGAATGACAACGTTTCACTTCCCATACGTGAAGGCAAGCTCTTTGCAAAACTGGCTTTCAAAGAATCATCCGTTAAGTTTGGCCCTCACCTATTCACTCTCAAATATCAAATCGTGCTTGAGCCCTTGACAATCTCTCACATCTATCTTTCGAGTGGGGGCAAGGAAACAAATCACAATGTTGTCGCTTATGGTGTAAAGGGAAAAGCATCGAAATGCACTATTGATCTTCACCAACGCCGTGAGATTGCGAGATATGTAAATGAGAAATTGGGGATTGACAAAAAAATTAGAAAGTTGAAAATGAACTTGGGGGAAGTTGAAGTTCGGGAAGCTGATTTGAGGTTGATCTTTGCCCAATTTAATGACATATCGATGGCGGGTAAACTTTTGTCTTTCTATTCCGGAGAGACGAGTCATGCGGTTGACCTTGACACATATGAGAGCGAGGTCAAAGAGCATAACGCAAAAAATAAGCATTTTCGATATGGTATGGCCGGAAAGGAAGAGAACTCGTGGATCGACTACGACGATTTCATTGAAATGGAAGAGCACGAGATTCTCTCGCCAGATACTGATGTCAAAATCATTCCGTTTTTCAGCACGCCCAGATTCACGTACTTTAGAGAGTTCACACTTGAGCATCCAGAAGGTCTCCATCCGTTTGGTCACGAGCCTTCTCACAAATGTTTAATAGGCATCAATTCACCCAACGAAGTTCAAGCCCAGCTTGTTGAATTGAGGTCGACAGAGGTGAATTTCAAACTAAACGAGTACATCAAGAAGGCAAAAGAGCTTGCACATAGCCATGATCCCGCTGATGAGAAAGAAAGACAAAGACTTGAACGTGAAATCGCTTACTGGAAAAACAAAGTTCACAACTTGCATAATCTCCGTGACAAGTTTGTTCACGACTCCGAAGAACCAAGCGGCTTTGATATTACAAAACTAAATTCGAGAATGACATCTGGAAGTGGTAGTGTGAACGAGTTAAGGCCGCAGATTTCACAGGCTCTTCTGATGTACTCGACTATTAGCTCACTAGAACAAGCTCGAGAAGTTATCAACGCCAACTCCCTCCTCAGTGATTACCACAACCGTTTTCTCATTCATAACTTGAAACTTATCTGGAATAATCAAGTGAGAGATATCTTCACATCGTTTCTTTATGTTGTTAGCCACCGAGAAACGGAAGCATTGGCAATGTCACGGAAGGCTTTAGATTTAATGGACAGGCTTTTGAAGAGCTCTGAGCCGAACAAGAGAGAGCAAGTGAGTGAGCCGTCTTTTGTCTCACAGAATGAATTTACATGCGGAAATGACGTCATTGAGGCTTTTGAAGAATACATGACTAGCTTGGAGTGTGATACTGAAGAGATCGAATCCAAGTACCTTGTTAAGTTTATCAAGCCACAAATTCATCTAAGAAGTGACTCCAATCCAAAAGCAAATGTTCTTATGGCATCTAAAGACATCGAGCTTCGTGTTTTTTGTGTTAATCATGAAGGAACCGACGACATCATCACTGATTCCGAAGAAAACATATCCCTTTTGGAAACCAGATATGGAGTCCTCTGCAGAGATTCTGTTGTTTTGTCATTCCAAGAAGAAGACTTTCCTTTTAAGACAAAAGACCCATATGGGTCTGGCAATAAAAGGCATGTCTGGCCGTTTTGGCTAAATCTTGAAGACAACGGTGATCTTGAGCAATATAAGAAAAATCTCGTGATTGAGAAAACGACCATAGCGTTTTCGTTGAAGAAGCCCAACATGCTTGCAATGGTGCCCTGTAAAGGTCATTCTCGAAAAGGTGAAGTCGTTGTTCACATGGCCAAACTAGTTTTGAACGCCACATCAAAGCAGTATTGCGCATTCTACTTCATCTTGACTGACTTGCTTATCCACGGAAATGAAAAAAATTACTTCCTTCAAAGAATCGAGCAAATTTCTTCAGTGTCAGAGGCTTCGGACATCGCAAATCTTGCTGATAAGTTGAAGCTACTCCAAAACAATATCAGAATTTGCCGATTTTTGATTTTAAAAATGAATGAAAACAGTTTGAAGCTCTCTCATCAGAAGAGGAGACAACACGGTCATCTCAAACTAGAATTGTGCCGAATGAAAATTGAGCTTTGGATCATCATTAAAAGCTTGGAAGTCAAGGGTTCAAGTTATAGGGATCTGAAAGCGATGAGTAAAACATGGGCAGTCCATGTCGATCAGCTCATCTTTCACATTCTCACTGACGCCCGGGAGCCAATGATCGATTTTGCGTTGGCCACATCAAGCTTCACAAGGTCTGAAGAGGCTGATGGATCGAACGCAAACTCGGTGGAAATATCCTTAATGCAGGGATTCAATTTACAGAAAGACGTTGTGTATCCTGAGCTTCTTAAACCGTACAGGAAGAAAAAGAACGAAGAAGGCAAAGAGGATACATACGTCCCGAGCAAGCCTATGGTCTCAATGTCCTGGAAAATGCTCAATCCTGTCGGCGGTATACGTGTTATGAACAACGCCAACTTATCAGTTCAGCCCATGCAAGTCCAACTCGACTATGATACGTCCACAAAACTATTCAATTACTTGTTTCCAAAGAATGAAGAAAAGATTGACAACTACAAGAGGAACAATCAAAATAAAACAAACAATGGTTTTGCAAGCACCTCCGAAGGTGATGAAGGATATGACAGCGCCGAAAGTCCCACTACACTTAGTTCTCCCTCGAGAGCCTTCAAAAATTTATGGGAACACAGCAAACTTAGTAAAAGCGAGTCCTCGTCCATTTTCACCCGGAGCTCTCCTTCAAGAGACACCTTTAGTGGTGAAAGTGTATCTGTTTCTTCTAACGATGCTCATCTGAGTCGACGCCGATCTACAAATGAAAAAGGTATTCACAGAACATCTTCCAAAAAGCAGGCCAGCATTCCCGATGACATTACAGTCATCATGAATAGATCGGCGCAGTACTTTGTGGTGGGAGACTTCAAAGTGAACAAAACTAAGTTGTGTATCAGTTTCAAAGCCCCAAAGCATTTGAACATTATAGATGTACACAACCTTGAGTTTTCTTTACCGTCAATTCACTACAGAGACAAGACGTGGACCAGCAATGACTTCATTTTACAGTTCAAGAAGGATGTGGTCAAAATATTTTTGAGCAACACAGGAAAGATTATTGGCAACAAATTTAAGATTAAGAAGAGACAGAGGGTATCCACACCACTAAGACAAATTATGGACTTTTCAAAGTATATGTCATTGGAGGATTTGCAAGACGAAGGTCGAGCGCGAGGCTCCATAAGCATTTTTGCAGACAAGAGCGAAGAAGCGCCAGACTCTGTGCTGCCTCAGAATACTCATGGTTCTCACAATCTCTCTTCAAACAATCTGGTAAACAAGACAATTGAAGGTGTTTTAGGAAGCGTTAGGGAAAGCGAAGAGACAGAATCCGAGGCTGAGAAGAGCTAGATTATAAGATCTCACTGATGTCGTGTTTGCTTTAGCACAGTTGGAGGGTCTCGGAGAAATTTCTCTGATGCCAGGGGTCGGAAAATAATGGAGACAATATTTGTGTTTACAGTTTCGGCTCATGTCGCCTTCTGAATACTCGCTTCAACACATATGTTAGTGAATTGAGCATTTTCCCGAAATTCTTTCTCACGCTTTCGCTAGAATTATCAACGCACACCATAAGAGAACAGAATCAACGCGTGAACGCACAACTCGCGGTGCACGGCATTTAACCGATTCAACGGGGAAGAAGACTGTGTGCACACGCCTAGTACATAATTGTCTAAATAAGAGTTTTTTTTTTCCAAATCCGCACTGTAGTCATGCACGGTCTACATCAGGTAAACGATTGGTTCCAATCACACCGCTCGTCTTGTATCTACGTCCACCAGAGTATAGTAGCTATGCGCAGGAGCTTCCAGAACCTGGGTCGACTGGCCTTATTGCTTAGCGTCGTATAATTCATCGTGAACCATACAGTCATGAGACTTAAGTTGTGCCATGCATAAAATGGGTGAGTATTATACATAAACGGAACAATATCATATCGCTATTCTACTTTTAGCCCACGGGAATCGACCGATGTCTCTGCTGTCATGTCCTACAAATGCCTAGTAGCCCCAAGCTCTATGAGCCGCAGTACTGCAGCCAGCTTGAGGCCCAGGGGCATATATTCATAGGAAAAACGCCTGGAATTAGCGCAGCTGGATATTGCTAAAGAAAGGTTTTCCAGAATGCTGGGAACTCTATGTTCTGTCCTGAATCGCAACACCAATAATACGGATTCTGGTCAGGCTCCCGGCCTCATACAGCGCAGAGGTGCCATGGTCCTGCACACACTGTGCTTTCCCAGGCTGGGCTCTCTAACAATAAACGGGTCCTACATGCCTCCTGAAAGATCCACCGCAGGATACAATTGGGCTTCAAAATGTCCTTTTTCGGCAGTATCCGTGAGAAGGCAATCAACACCTTCAAGCAGGCGGTCGAGCGGAACAATCAAACTGGCCTCAACAAAGATGAGTTATTCTGCAAAGAGCACCGGCTTCCACCCGGAGAAACTGTAATAAACGAGTCTGCCGTCGAGGTCAGCTACGGTACCGAAGTCGTCAAGGACGCATACAAAAACTTGCGGTACCCACAAGGACGGCTCTATCTAACGCAGCGATTTTTGGTGTTCCAGGATGTGTTTGATGGTCGGAATTGTTCGTTTGTCGTGCATCTCTCTACATTCAAGAAAGTGGAGCGGCTCCCCACCAGCTCGTATGGGTTTGCACTTGAACTAATCACGCACTCCAAGCTATGCCTCAAACTATATTTAGTTGGGCTCCGCTCCGAGAGCGAGAGATTCACGTTGCAGTTGAGAACTGCATTGAAGGCCAATTTGGCCAGCGTGAAAAACCTCCAACCGTTCATAAAGTCCTGCTACTCGGAGTACCTACTTGCAAAAAACAAAGTGTCCTCGGAGAACGTAGAGAAAATGCCTCCGGGCGGGCTCGGGCTCGACTTTAAGTTTCCGGGAAACCCGAAGGAATTGCGTGATCGATCGAAGATGAAACTATGGTTCGACCTTTTTCGCTCCGAGGGCCGGAACCTTGCTTTGGTAAGAACCCCCATGTTTTACAAACTCGTGCGTGTGGGCTTGCCTAATCGCTTGCGAGGAGAAATCTGGGAGTTATGTTGTGGGTCGATGTTTATTAGAGTAGATCTGGCAGGCGTGTACGATTCACTCATACGTGATCATGTAGGCCAGAGATCTCTTGCAATCGATGAAATTTCGAAAGACCTATATAGGTCTCTACCTGAATATGCGGCATATCAAGAACCTGAGGGTATCGAACGCTTGCGTCGTGTCTTGGTTGCGTATTCATGGAAGAATCCAGAAATTGGCTATTGCCAGGCAATGAACATCGTTGCTGCTGCGTTGCTCATTTACATGTCTGAAGAACAAGCCTTCTGGTGTCTTAGCACCATCTGCGAAAGAATTGTACCGGGGTACTACTCGAAGACTATGTACGGCACGCTCTTGGACCAGCGAGTGTTTGAGTCTCTAGTCGAAGAAAAAATTCCCATTCTCTGGAGCCATATGCTCAAATATGACATTCAGCTCTCGGTTATTTCCTTGCCATGGTTCCTATGTCTCTACTTGACGTCCATGCCCTTGATATTTGCCTTCAGAATTTTGGACGTGTTTTTCCTACAGGGCCCGAAGACCTTGTTTCAAGTTGCGCTTGCCATTCTCAAAATCAACGGTGAAGAACTTTTGCAGGCCGAAGATGATGGCGCGTTCTTTCTGATTCTCAAAGAGTACTTCAATACCTTAGACCAACCCGCCCATCCGGGATCAAATAGTCCGAAGGTTGCTCTGGCAACGAAGTTTCAAGAGCTTCTTGTTGTTGCCTTCAAAGAGTTTTCTGTCATCACCGAAGAGACAATCGAAAAACACAGGACGAAGCATAGAAACACGATCTTCCAAAACATATCATCTTTTGTGAAGAGAACAGAAGTGAGGAATCTCCCAAAGACCATGAACTTTAGTCCTGAAATTGTGGGGTTGATTTACGACCGCTTTTACTCAATTGTGCAGTCTCAAATCACTGTCGGTTCAGGGTCGAGCTTCATGGACTTCGATGCTTTCAAGGTCTTCATGATACAAGTGTGCGACTTTGTGGACGAAGAGACTAGTGAGGAAGTAACGCTGAAACAGGAAAAGTTCTTGAAACGCTTGTTCATAAAATGGGATACTCGAAATACAGGTGATTTGTCACTTGCGGATCTAGTCGTTGGGCTACACAAGCTAATGGACCCGGATTTATTGACATCCATTTCAAATTTCTTCCATCTTTATAGTCTTGATGACAATGTGGATCGAGAAGGAATTCTTGACATATCGGAGGACTTGTTATTCATCACAAGTCCATGGAAGGAAGGTCGTCTTTTGGACTCTCTCACAACAGTTGCTATTGAAAATGCTATGGCCGACGAAATTTACAGACAACAACAGGAAAAAGGGTCCAATGGAGAAGAGATTTCTTTACCAAAGGGTATTGATATCGATAGAGAAAAGATCGAAAACGAACAGCTCGAACGATATTTATCATCAGCAAGCACCTTTATTCAGCGGGCATTCGAATATGCACAACCCAAAGAAGAGGTAAAACTACTTGAAGACTTACCTGTTGACCATAGGCTTACTCATAACGCTGCCCTCAATCCCAATACCCCGGTGTTTTTGAATCTCCCGACTTTCAGAATGGTCATTTTAGCAGATGAAACATATGAGTTATTTTTTGATACCACACTACGCGACTCTATACACTTGGACGAACACTTGGACGCAAGGCTAAACACCATGCGTAATTTGCGAGATATGTTTGATGGACTACTAGCTGATGGTAAAGAAGTTGCTAAAAAGGTGCGTCGTCGCATGGACTCCGCGGCTCAGCAGCCCCATGTGCCCCACAATGACAATTCGTCAATTAAGTCAGGCAAAAACTCGAAGCATACCGACGACGAAGACGAACGCGACGACGACTTTGATATTATTGATATTGATGATAGGGACAAAGATCTATTATTGGGCGCGGAGGCACAAGCGCTCACAGACCACGTGCATACTCAGAAGAATCAGTTGCAAAAATTTCATGAGGCTGAGAAAGGAGAAGACCGGCATGGCTCAAAGAATATGATTGAGTTTGAATCTTAATGAAGCCGCTCAAGTTCCACGAGCCTTCTATGTATAAAATAGACATGATTTTGTTTAGCTACGTCCGAAAAGCTTTTTCAAGAATTTTTTCTTGGGCTTCTTCTCTTTGTGGTCAAACTCTTCCTTTTCCTTCTTTTTTCCCTCCTTGTTCCGCAAAGTCTTAATGGGCGATGACTCAATTGGACGTTGACTGGTCAGATGACGGGGGGTTTCATCATCCGAATCAACAAAGCGCGACAAGAATCCATGAGATTTACTGCCGCGCGTGTCATGTTCGTCATCAGAGTCAACAAATTTAGACACGTGATTCCCACTGCCGCTGTGTTGCTGAGAATAAGTTTGTGTCTGAGCGTTTTGAATACTCGAGTCCACGGGGTTGATTGATGAGGCTACAGGAGGTGATCTCAAAGTCATCCGGTGTGCCGACTTTTGAGGAACTTGCGAAGATGGCTTCTGAGGGGCTGCAGATTCTCGGGTAAATGAGGAGGTTCTGGGGAGCGCCTGATATGACATGGGTCTTTTGTTTGCTTTGGCATAAAGTTCTGCAGCCTTGAGCTTTGATGGCGACTGATAATTTGGTTTTGTCACTGGATGTGGTGGAATTGGTTGCACGACAGGCTTTGAAGCTCTCATTGCACCACTTTGCCCACGGCTTAATTGGCCATCGATCACAGACTGCGGTCTGAGCGATCTTCCTGAGAGACCATTTTGAGAGGCCCCACTGGGCTGTTTGCGCAAGGACTGCGACATTCTTTTCAGTTGGTGGTTGGGTGACTTTGGCGCTTGTGGCTTGACTTCTGGCGCGAGGCTCTCCTCCAAGTTGGGGGATGACAACTTAGAGTTGAGTCTCGTGTTCTCAGCTGTGGTCAAGGACAAATATGCCTGGTGAGCAGGGCTTGCGGTTAGACTGTTGTTTGATGAATACGCTGGCCTTGCGTTTTTCATCGCAGACTTAATCGGTCTGGATTTCGAGTCGACGCTCGAAAAAGATCTGATTGAACCCGCAAAATTTGGTGGAGGTACCAACCCGTCGTTGTGAAGGTCATTCGCATGATCGAAGGTCGTTTCATGGGTTTCTGTTATCTCAGGGACCAAACCCGACGACGGGGCAGATTCAGACATGCCAGATTCTTCAGGGAAAGCGCCAAACTCATAGGAAATGTTACTGACCGAAGCTCTCTCAGTCTGACTATCACGCTGCACAAAGTTGGGTCTCAATTGGCTCGCAAGGTTTGGGGATTCAAAGCTTTCAGTCGGCACTTCTTCTATCCCGAAGTTATCAACAGAACCATCAAGGCCCGCACTCTTCTGTGCATCATCATGGGAAATGGGAATGTCAGTTCCGGAGTTCTTAAGGTCATGCTGTGGTGAGGCAGGGTCGATTTGTTTGTCCAAGTGAAGGTCCAGAGCGCCATCGATGGGCTTCCCATTTTGCTCGCTGGCTCCTGCTTTCTTCAGATCCAACTCATCAACCACAAAGGGCAAAGGCGCAATGGGCACGTCCTCTTCATCTTCGGAGCCATCTTCTTCATCTTCGGAGCCATCTTCTTCATCTTCGGAGCCATCTTCATGTTCAGCAGAAGCCCCGTTAGGCTTCACACGATCCGAGGCAGTCGTATCGTTCGAAAGCAGTTCCTTCTCGTCGATGGAGGAAACGGCCCTGAACGAAGAGGTGTCCTCCTCTTGCAAGCTATGGAGCTCCATGAGCTTGCGCTCGTTTTCCAAACGCAACAGCTTCAACTGCTCGTACTCGGCACGCTGTCTTTCCAAATCTCTGGCCAACTGCTTCTCATGCTCAATCTGCTTGTGCAACTCTTCGTGTTCTCTGGACGCGTGTGAGACGGGAGACATATGTCTGGAGTGGTAGTCGTCTTCGGTTTGTTCATCGATTCGCGATTGGCTCGCCAATGACGAGACGCGGTTGGGCTTTCTGGCCCTGGCGGAGTTGGCCATGGAGTGCGATCTGGAGTGTGACACCAACAGACCCGAGCGCTTGAGCGAGAGATTGGAGCGCATGGAGTTTGACCTGGCGATGTCCTTCTTCATCGTCTCCTCTGGCACCTCTACCACGGTGATTCCGTTGGGCGTAGGGATGTATTTTTTGACCATTTTTGGCTGGGCCACCTGCGGAGTGTGGCGCAACTTCAAGTTCTGGAGCTGCATCTCGTTGCTGTAGTGGACGTCTGCCTCGCGTCCGACTTCCTCGAAAAACGAGTCGTTGAAACTGTCATCCACGTTATACACATGCCTGTCTCCCGCGGCCGCCATGCTGTGGCGGTTGGAGAGATTCAGTCCTGTGCGCGACTGCCTTGGTGTCGAAGTCGGGCCCATGGAGTTTTGGATAGACGAGCTACGTTTCAAAAGACTCAGGGTTGGTTTTGGCTGCTGGTGTTTTGACATCAGCAGCGTGGAAGCGGGCTTTCCGTAAACATCCGGCCGCGTCTCCCGGAGAGTCTGGCCAATACTCAAAGCTGCAGCCATGGCCCCATTGTCTGGTGCCTGGGAAGAGGGGGAGGAATGTCCCACACCCGTATATGCTGTGGAATTGCGTGTTTTTCGTCTGAACATCACAATGGTTTTCTGGCAGCTGCTCTTGGTTTTTTTCCCCTAAAATTGGGGTTTTTTCTTGTTGAAATAGGGGTGGAATAAACGCCAGCTTCTTTTTTATAAAAAAAAACTCGGAGGCGGGGCTCAGGTGAAGGGTGAAGCAATTGACTCAGACCACGACTCGAATTTCACGACGAGGCTGGGAAAATACAAGGGGCTGGCTATTTGCGGCAGCAAATCAAATTTCAGCAAGTGGCAAAAAGATTCAGCGGCTCCCTTGGCTTTTTTGTGAAGATATGAGTGAGACGCTGGTTTGATTAGTAGTAAGGGTCACCACGAGGTGCACCAATGTTTGGTGTTTGCTCGTTCTGCCTGGCCGGGCTGTGTGCAGGCACAAACTGGTGCTTCTAGTATTGCAAGCGCGCAACGAACGTTCCACCGCATGCCGGATGGTATGCGACAGCCGGCTCACTTTCGCCATTTGTGCTCGTGACCCACAACGGGCTGACAGCCTCTTGCCAACAGTGGTTGATATTTGACTCTTTTCATTTCTCACGCTAAAAAATTTTGGATCAAGAGAGTGGCCGTTTCTCACACATGAGCGGGGCGCGCTCACCGCTTCTCTTACGTTTGGAGCTTCTTTATATGCAAGCCTCCCCTTTCCGCGTACGGCAAGCGCTACCGCGATATGCAAAACCCTCATGCTCGTTCTAGTATTGAGGGTTCCCAGAAATGTAAACCTTATATTCTTGGTGTACTTCTACAGAAGATCACCAGCTTTTGAAAGAGCCCTTGTAAATTTCATAGCAGTCCAATGTTGGCACTCAGAACGCCGGTGCAGTTGCCCTCTATCTCTCAGTTGCAGTACACGGGGTAGTTTGTAATTCCGCTCGGTGAACCAAGGTCCATACACCATACTCAGCTGCAAACCACAGGCTGAGTGTATTTTGATGAGATGCCGTTTGGTTGTGGATATGACTTTGGTAAATTTCGTAGAAAATTCATGGGGGGATTTGTCACCAGGTCCTTTCTGGGGTGTGCCAAATAATATATGTGCGATGAACCGACTTGACCAATGTATATTCCACATGCATTGCGCCCTCCTGTTTCATACTGCACCGTTCCAATTTTGGCGTTCCCTTACTTCAAAATGGACCATGAGTGGGAATTCATTGTATTTGCTCGGCCCAATTTTTTCTTTTTTGTATTCTTAGACAAATAGCCGTTGTTAGATGTTTCACATTCTCGAAGTAGCAGAATTACACAATGTGTTTGATTGAGCTGAGAAATATCAAAATCACTAACCTTGCTGCCCGGTGACCCTGGTGGTCATGTGAAGCAGCAAGAGACGAAATTATTAAGAAAAGAAAAGGACAGTCACGATGCCCGCGGCTCAATCTGGTGTCAGGAGCGCATTTAACATAGAAAAACATGAGCTCGTTCAACTGCGAAGATGCACTTCTAATAATTTCCCGAGACCCAAAGCTATGTAACCAGACAAGGAGATTTTCTTCAGCACACAGCTCAGATGTGTGCTCCAGCGAGACATACTAAAAATACACAAGCCTTTGTCTGGCCAAGAACAAAGTCTCTGATACCTGTCTGCTGACTCGATAGCCCCGAAGGTGTTTGATTTCCACTGTGAGTTTTTTTGCTCCACACCCTGGGTAATAATTAGGATGGACCAAGAAGATCATTTTAATCGGGGCTGAAGATCTGTACTCAAGCCACACTAAGCATTTGGGAAACAGTAGAACGCCCCATATCTAAGATGGTCCTCGGTGACACGGGTCCATGCCCTTTTGGATGTGCGAGGCATTTATTGACAAAAAATACATACACGCGGAAAGTATGACAGCTCCCCTTCGGCAGAAGCGTGACCAAAGCCATCTAGATTTCCAGTCAAAGCCCTTCGGGATTTTTATACTAGACAATCTTTTTCTGCTATTTCGCAGCCCTCGCCCGGTTGCAGACCTAGCCTCGCATTTCGCACTCTGCAAAGTGCCACGGTATGATGACGTCGATATACTGATCGCGGTCGCATACATAGAAGACAGCCACCAGATCCAAGCACGCCAGAAATCATAGATCCAACGGGAAAAGTGCTGCGTTTTCTGTATGAACCTTACCCCGCTTTTCTTCTATGTCGTGCTTGTGGTTAGTCTCGACCCGCTAGCGCACTCCGCGTTCACGCCGCGGCATCTCCGGGAACTCCAGCATCGGACAAAACTTCTTTTCCAACATGGCTGGCACTCGTACATGGAGCATGGTTTCCCCGCGGACGAAGTCAAGCCTATTTCCTGTGTTGCCTATGGCCCACAGCACACCTTGCCAGACGATCTACATAAAGACGTTTTGGGCAACGTTTCACTGACGGTACTAGATAATCTCGATACGCTTATCATGATGCACGAGTGGGATGAACTCGAAACCGTATTGCATTACCTCAAGGTGAACCAGAAGGGCTATTTTGACCAGGACCATGTAGTGCAAGTTTTCGAGGCGTCTATTCGATGGCTAGGCGGGCTTCTCCTGGCACACTTGGCCCTTTCCGAGCTAGATTGGCAGTCGGGCCCGGGCCAAATCCAAGCAATTGTGGCGGGCTACAACGGCTTTCTCTTGGAAATGGCCTATGACTTGGGGCTCAGGCTTATTCCGGCGTACAAGACATCCTCCAGCTTGCCGTTGCCCCGGATCAACTTGGCAAAGGGTCTCGATGCTGTGCCTTCCGCCAAAAATAGAGAAGCATGCACAGCAGGGGCCGCAACACCGTTTATGGAGTTCTCGCTTCTCCTGCGGCTCACGGGCGACGAGCGCTTTGAAACTCTAACGCGCCTGACTTTCAACAAGCTTTGGGCTGCTCGCCTGTCGCTCGGATTGCTTCCGATGTCTCTAGATCCGATCGGCAGTAGGTGGCTAGATGTCATCACGGGGGTTGGTGCTCTGATTGACTCATTTTATGAGTATGCATTGAAAGGCGCAATCCTCTTCAACGACGACCATTTGTGGGACATATTTTCTCAGTCCTACCAGAGTCTCATCTCTCTCCTGGCATTCCAACCAAGCGCCAACGGCTGGACGTATTTTGCCAACATACACACGACCTCGGCAGCGCGTGTGACCGCATGGATTGATCTGCTTAGCGCTTTCTGGCCGGGGCTTCAAGTATTAGCGGGCAGGCTTTCCGATGCCGTGTCTAGCCACCTCGTGTTTCTCAAAATTTGGGACCATTTCGATTCCATTCCCGAAAGATGGGACTCTATGGCATTTGGAATGGACCATCTCCTGGAAGCTGCCAGACTCTTACAGGCCGTGCCGCTCGAGTGGTATCCGCTCCGACCCGAGTTCATCGAGTCGACCTATTATCTATATCGTGCCACCAAAGAACCCATGTACTTGCAAATTGGCTTGCGCATGTTGGACTTATTTGAAACCCGCTTCAAGGCGGAGTGTGGGTTTTCCGGATATCAAGACATCAGAACTGGGTCCAGACAAGACCGGATGGAAACATTTGTGTTGGGCGAGCTGCTCAAGTACTTGTATCTCCTTTTCGACGAAGCCAACGAAAGCTACGTACATAGTGCAACCATGCATCTGAAGAATTGGGTGTTTTCAACGGAAGCACATCCTCTTTGGTTGACAAAGGAAGTACAACAGCGAAGCCAAAAATTATTTGCTTCTTCAATATCACCTGAAATCACGCAACTCAAAGACTTCAAAGGAAGGGGCTTTCTTGGATCCATGTGGAGAGGCTTGATCCATCCTCTGAACGAATTGGAGTCTGACCTCGATGAACACGATGAGCAAAGCCACGTTCGCGAGGTCTCTCCCTTTGGCTCGGACTTACAGCCAGCGTTTAGTCATTTGTTGTCCTGTGAAATAAGGCCTAGTCAATGGAAAAGTGACCGTCAATTTTTTGGTTCTGGGTATTACGAGTGGGACTGGCTTTTCTCGCCAAATGAGGCCATGGCAGGTACCTTGATCCGACCTGAACATCTACGGCTACTCGATGATAATAGTACCATTGAGCTACAGGATTCATTTCTTGCGATCCATGGGCTATCACCATACAAAAAATGTGCCCTCGCATCAACCACCACGATTACAGAGTATCAGATTGGGCCCCTAATGCGACCTGAGGAATACAACATGTACAGAGTCAACAGAAACAGTTCACTTTTTCCGTTTGCTGAGTCAGATTTGGTCATGCCTGAACTAAGAGGACGCTTTCGTATGGAGCATTTGAAGAAAGGTGCAATTGATAATTGTGGTGTGACAATAAATACACAGTACTTGCATGGGATGTTACCTACCAACCCTCCAGGAGTAAGTTTCAGTCAGGAAATTTCGCGTGTCAATTTCATCAATGGGCTTCAGATAGCACCAGGTACGACTTTGTGGATACGCGCCAGCTACCTTGGATCAAACCCAAACGTGTTTATCGTGACAAATGAAGGCGACGTATACATGACAGGAAAATACGTGGAAAACCTCAAGGTGTACTGAGCGGACAGTAATTTACTCTAGCCCTACCTGCGGTCCGAGCTAAAAATTTGCGTTTTTATCTCTTGAATTACAAGAACGCAGAGAACCCCAATAATTAAAGAGTCATTGTTAGATTTGGTGACCCAATGCGAATATCCGAATTTTATTCGTTAGCGCGTGATTGCTAATCAGCGATCGAAGGCGGGGATGCCAGATTAGCCACTCGTCTGCAATTTGAGAGCAACGGTTTTTGACTGGGAGACTCGTTTCTCAGAAAACTAACCCAGTCGCTACTCCAGTTTCAGGAAAGCGGAGCCAAGCGTATGGCTAAAATTGCGTCCAAAAAACGTAAGGCGTTGAACGGGCACATGTCAAAATTCACCTAGTGTATGTACCCGGACTTGTTAAAGTTTCGCCTAGTCGCGGGTGTGCGTCATTCCGCAAGACCGACTGAGAGGTGGCAGAATGTCTCCCTGCCGGCTATTAACGGGAAATGACTCTGAGGCCGGAATCGGCGCGCACGTATAAATCAAGAGCGGCCTGCCCGGTGCGAACAGAGTCTGATAAAGTAACGGCAAGAAAAAAAGTATGTCGCATCATTTTTTTTATCACTCTCTTTATTGCAACAATTCTGGAGAACTTCGCCCGAAGCAGCCATGTCGTTCTTTACAAGATTGGCTCCTTTGAGAACAGCCACTAACATACCGCATAGACTATTCGCAACAATGAGTCAGGCACCTTTGGACGCATCTAAATTAGTTATCACGAAAACCAAATCTCCAAAGGAGAAGATTCCAAACGACCAGTTGGTTTTCGGAAAAACCTTTTCCGATCACATGTTGGAAGTCGAGTGGACTTCCGAAAATGGTTGGGCTGCTCCCACTATCACCCCATACCACAACTTGAGCTTCGACCCATCGACGATTGTTTTCCACTATGGTTTCGAGGCTTTCGAGGGAATGAAGGCTTACAGAGACAAACAAAACAAGATTAGAATCTTTAGACCAAACAAGAACATGGCCAGATTGAACGCGTCGGCCGACAGAATTTGCTTGCCAACTTTCGACGGTGAGCAATTCACCAAGTTGATCGAGGAGTTCGTGAAGATCGACCAGGACTTTGTGCCTCAAGGCGAAGGGTATTCCTTGTACTTGAGGCCAACCATCATCGGTACTTCTGCTACTTTGGGAGTCAGCACTCCAGACAAAGCCCTCTTGTATCTTATTGCATCTCCAGTGGGTCCTTACTACTCCACAGGTTTCAAGGCCGTTTCCTTGGAGGCGACTGACTACGCCGTTAGAGCTTGGCCAGGCGGTGTTGGTAACAGAAAGTTGGGTGCCAACTACGCTCCTTGCGTCAAGCCAGCTTTGGAAGCTGCCAAGAGAGGTTACCAGCAGAACTTGTGGCTTTTCGGCGAGGAAGGATACATCACGGAAGTCGGAACCATGAACGTTTTCTTTGTTTTCCAAGACGCTTCTGGAAAGAAGGAGTTAGTCACTGCTCCTTTGGACGGCACCATCTTGGAAGGTGTCACCAGAGACTCCGTTTTGGGCTTGGCCAGGGCTAAGTTGCCTTCTTCTGAGTGGACGATCTCCGAGCGCAAGTTCACCATCTCGGAGGTCAAGGAGAGAGCTTCCAAGGGCGAGTTGGTGGAGGCTTTTGGCTCCGGTACCGCTGCTTTGGTGTCTCCAATCAAGAACATTGGCTGGAAGGGCGAGGACATTTCTGTGCCTTTGGCCAAGGGCGAGGCTGGCGAGTTGACTGTGCAAGTTGCCGACTGGATCAAGAAGATTCAGTATGGTGAGGAGGAGTTTGAAGGCTGGTCCAGAGTCATCGAGTAGAAGCGAGGGCGGAACTCTGGTGAAATGACCCGTATCTGTCAAAACAAACCTACAAATATACATTTAGGCTTTGTTGTAATGACGATGTAGCTTTAAATATACAGACTCGATGTTGAGTATGCTAGGTGGAGGAGAAGTCTCTCCGCTCGATGTCAGGTAGTTTCTGGATCTCATGCATGATGTAGTCCCGTTCCTCGACTATGCTCGACCCGTACTCGGACACGTCAAATGTGCTGAAGAACTGAATGAAATTCTCCTTGTTTTTTGTGAGAATGTCAAGGATTTTCTGCGATTTTTTCGGCTTGGCAACAAAGAATTTAAACACATGGAAGCCTTCTAGCTGGACGTTTTTCAGCTTGTCACTGAGGAGCATCATGATGATCTTCAAGCTGGTGGTGTCGTCGAAATAATACATGAGAAATTGCTGGTTCAGTTTCTGCATAACGAGCTCGGTCAAGAGCCGAATGCTCTGCCTCTTTGTCACATAGTTGTCTGACTTTATGAGCCCGTTGATCACCTGGGTGAAGTTTTCACAGTTCTTGGCCAAGAACTCCGACACTAGTTTTTTGTGCAGTGTCAAGAACTGATTTAGCGTCACGAATGTGTCGGTGGCGACCTCGAAAATCTGGTTTTGGGCGTATCGGAAGTATTTCCAGAACAACGGGTGATATAGCAAATACCTATTGATTTGCTCGAACTTGACACAATCTCTCAAGATCTGCCCGCAGACCAACGCCGTGTCGCTGGCCTCCGGCCCTCTCATAAGCACGACCAAAATATCCGGTCTTCCATGCACCAAATAATCCACCGTGGGCGAATCGTTCCCTATGCGTCGTCTTAAGAGTGCCAGGAACAAGGTGACTATGTCCTTGCGCAGATCGAAATCTAGTTTGCGCAAACTTTGCACCAAGAGCAAAAGACAATCTGAGCTATATATCTCCTGCGCCAAAAGCGCAATCTGGTCCGGCTGAGGGTCGTTTTCCTCATCGCCATGAAACACTACTTTCATCTGCTTCAAATACCGGTGACAATCGTCCTGGTACTTGCGCGAGTCGGTCAGATAATCGAGTTTGGACACCAGCTCATTGAGCAGCCGCACAAGATCCGAGGGTGATTTCGGGTTCCTCTTAAACAAAAAAGCCATTTTTTGTGACACGGCCAGAACTGTGGTAATTAGGTTTGCCTCATCTTTCGGAGCCAGATCACAGAGCGCGATTGCGGCTGAAGCATCCGAGAGCGGCCCCACTGTGCAGGAGTGATGAGACGGGTGCGAAACGGTCTTGATTAGCGGGGATCATTCACACCTGCCTTATCGGGAGCCCTACCCCCATGAAATGTATGATCTGGCTCTAATTCTTTACTTTAGAAGTATCGAGGCAGTACTTTGGTAGTTTCCAAATAAGACTATGTAGGTTGGACCAGAAAGTATGCCACGGGTCACGTATTTCTTGGGCCGTATTTGGAGTTGGCTCGTGCGGATTGCGAGGGTGTACGCCTGAGACGCGATCAGAACCATTCTGATACCAGAGGCCTGGCATCGATGATACCCATAATTAATTGCATACTAAGTTTCTTATTGATTTCTGGGTTGAGAGCAAGAATTAATGCACCAGGTTTGGCAGTTTCTTCAAGTGGTAAGCGCTATTTTTATTCCGAATACTTTTCCGTCTAATATTTTGGGTCTTCATTCGAGGTAGCTGAAACTAGGAATGACCTGAAGCTTGAGGCGAGAGACTCGAGCGAAGAGCCTCTCACAAAATCCTAGACAGGCCAAAATATCTTAATCCAAGGAAAGGTTGAAAAGATCGTTCAATAAATTTTGTTAAGATTACTCCAACAGATTATAAAAACAAGCGCGGTGAATGATGCTGCTTCAACTTTCTATATTTTTCTGAGAACAGTCCCCGGACGAGAACGCCTATAAATTTAGTAGAACATTGGGCCTAATTTAGTTCCCCAGTTTTGAGCCATCGCAAAGTATCATTTGGACTCACTTAAATAGATCATTTGGCTGAATTAATAATGCCTAGATTTACTCGTCCTTCGAAAACACAAGATGTCTCCTAGAATTTCGAGTCTCACTCGCTCCAAATGGCTTCACTACCTAGCAGGCCTTTTGGGCCGCGCGCTCAAATTAATCTTTCTCCAAGAATACAAGCGTCATTGAAAAGCCGCTTTTGGAAACCTGGGGCTTGGCACATTGTATTGGATGTATTTTTTTCAGACCACCGTTGTCTCATTGTTCCCAGAAAGTCATGTGGCTTTTGCTTTTCGTACCTGTTTTGCGTCTCCCAATCAGATGCGGCGCGGCACGTCTGATCTCTGCCGGTCCCAAGGCTTTATCTACGATCAAACTATTACACCTCAGCCAACGCGCTCTGAGTGACCATCCATATTATACTGTCGACATCTTGTACATCCACCCTGAATGTCGTATCTTTTTGTCTGGCACAGTGTTCCTGTGAACAAATCGAAGCGGCCCTTTCTCACAGAAAACGAGCACCACGTCTTTGTCAAAGATGGGGTCGGCATTTACCAAGGCAAGCTGAAGATCAAAAGTCTTCAAAAAGGGCGTGTCTACTTGACCAACAAGCGCGTGATCTACCTTGACTCCGTGGACGGGTCCAAGGCTGTCGCCATAAATTTGTGTGATGTAGCAAACGCCGAATATGTCGAGAGATTCCTCCGATCGAGCCCGAAAGTGAAGATTTTCCTTAAGGTTGCAGCAGACAACACGACTCATTTGAATGAGCGGGGTTCGCCAGAACCGGAGTCAGCGGCAGGCCGGTCGCCTATTGTTGATTGGGTTTGTGGGATATGCTCATTCAATAACCACATGTCACGGCAAGTCAACCTATCAGCCAATCTCCCAAAATGTGTGTCTTGCGGGATCCCGCCTTCTTATGAGCTGCTTGAAGCCGTGCTCAAAAAGGATTTAGGTACAAGCCGGGATTCTGGGTCCAGCCAGAGCTCAAACACAAGCCCTGACCTGTGCCCGAAATGCACATTCATCAATCATCCATCCATGAGGTTTTGTGAGGTTTGTGGAGCTCCACTAAAACTGGCTCCGAAATCACTTCTAAAGAAAATCAAGGACTCTGAGAAAAGATCACCTGCTGCATCCAACCCGTTGGGATTGGTCTTGGAAGAGAACGAGACATATACTAATAACTTTCCTTATGTGAAAATCAGTTTTCGCAAGGGAGGCGATGCTGAGTTTTTCAAGCATTTGAACGAAACGATTGATAAGATGAAGTGGGAGGCTCTCGAAGCTAAAGGTGGTATAAGTGATGATTCTACACGAGTCTTACCAACGCGAGAAGCCACTCCGCGGGTGCAATCACGGGGAATTCAAGGGCTCGTTAAAATTGGTGAGTTTCAAAGAAAACAAACAGAGCTAATCTTATCACTGTCTCTAGAAGATTTGGAGCAGCTTATGCAGAAAGCTCAAGAAATACTCGAGCTCACATCTTCGTTCGGCTCCTTGATCAAGAAACCCCAGGCACCTTCTTCAATCATGTCCCCGCTCCTGGTGAGTCTGACACTGAGCATTTATCATCAAGAGCTAGCAAAGCACATGTGTGAGTACTTGCTAAATTTTAAGCTCACCAAGTTTTCTTCGATGATAACCTCACAAGATTTGTTTGCATCGTACAATCGATTCTCTATTATGAGTCAGGGATTTGGGGGAGATCTTGTTACAACCCAAAACTTCCAAAAATGTCTACAGTTGTTTGAAGCCTTAAGCCTACCTGTGAAGCTCAAGACGTACCAGTCTGGATTGGTTGTTATTACGCAACGGCTCCATGATCTGCAAGAAATCCACCAGGTGATCCTAGAATACTTGGTGGCAGAAGAAAACCGTTTTTTGTACGAAAAGTACACAAGTGAGCTTTTAGCCGACTCCGATGGATACATGAAAGACATGTACAAAACTTTCCGTGGCAAAACTGTTGCTGAAATTGCAGACAATTTCGGCTGGTCTTCAACCATTGGCGTGGAAGAAATATCCCGATGCATGGATGAGGCACTCATTGTCTGTGATAAGCATATTCTGGGAAGCTTTTACTATGTGAACAAGTTCGATGACACACTAGCAGGGAAGATTCTCGATGAATCATTAGTGCAAGAAAAGGCACGTGCTGATGTGCTTAGTCAACAGAAGAACATTTCTTCGGATTTGAAGTTTCAACAAGAATCAAGTCAAAATTTGCTTGTTTTTGACGAATTCGACTTTGGCACGATACAAAGTCCCCAAGAGATTGAACATCCTATTGAGGCCTTCGGAGCAGAGCAACCAGTAAGTGAGTCACTCAGTCTACTAGATGGTTTAAAGTTCGAACATTGAGTTTAGGCCTCAGAAGCTCCCACTTTGCTTGTTCCTTCCTCGAATCAATCATAATTAGCTTCTTGCATGAAGGTCTTACTCCGCGAGAAATGCATCATACTTAGGCTTGCGAAGGTTTAGGGCGATTAATTATCAGTCCGTAGCCAATGTTCCATATTGCTTCCCCATCATTACATGATCTACACCTCAATTGAAAAACAACAATACGAAAAATGCGAAGACATATTACGCTTCGTTCAGCTGCAGCCAAGGAATGTAGTGCTATCTTTTCCTCTGAGTAACTTCAAATACAGGGCCGCAATTTGGGGTCGGTTACTGATAGCAGCTAAGCAATTATGCTACTGAAGATTGATAAGCCACACGCAAAGGGGCACCATGATTGCAGGGAAGTTAAATTTGTCACAATTTCAGGTATATTGGCGCGGCCCGAAAAACCGGCGAAGCTTTATCGTGCATTTCTGGCACATTTTAGAGCGCGTGCGCAAAAGAAGACACCGTCCTCATCTGCTGATAAGAGATATGCCTGCATCAAGATAATTCGCTTCATGTGTCAAATGTATAAAGCTGCATTCTTTTTCCCTTTTCGCCAAGAAAAAACCCATCAATCCTATCAATCCAGAGTTTTCGCTAATGTCTTCTGCGACTCAGTATGTTGCTCTTCCTCAGGCGGCAGGATATGCCGTTGTTGTTGGCTTAGGTGCTGTATTCGCTGCAGGTATGGTGCTCACGACCTTTTGTTTAAAACGCTACAATAAGGAAATTATGACAGCTGAGGAATTTGCCACTGCGGGGAGATCTGTCAAAAAATTCTTGCTCTCTGCTGCTGTTGTTTCTTCCTGGACCTGGGCAGCTACACTTTTGACGTCAACTGTTCAAGTGTACAACAATGGTGTTTCAGGTGCTTTATACTACGCTGCTGGTGCAACAGTCCAGATTGTTTTATTCGCATGCTTGGCCATCAAGGGAAAGGAGCGGGCTCCTTTTGCTCACACTTACTTGGAGATTGTTCAAAAGCGATATGGTAGCATCACGCATGGTGTCTACTGTTTCTGGGGTTTTGCCACCAAAGTTCTTGTTACTGCAATGTTGTTGACTGGTGGTTCTGCTGTAGTGCATGATTTGACTGGTATGAATGTTGTGGCGGCCTGTCTATTGTTACCCCTTGGCGTGGTTATCTATACTTTGTTTGGCGGAATCAAGGCCACTTTTTTGACTGACTATGCTCATACAGTCGTGATTGTGGTCATAATGTTGGTTTTCGGCTTCAACGTTTTTGCGGTATCCGACAAATTAGGGTCTCCTGGGGCAGTATGGGACATAGTTACCGAATTGGCCGAAACCCTGCCCAGGGAAGGCAACGCTGGTGGATACTATTTGACCATCAAATCTCACTCCGGTGGTATATTTTTCGTTATCAATATCGTTGGAAACTTCGGTACTGTCTTCTTGGACAACGGATACTTTAACAAGGCTTTTGCCTCTGATCCTGTTGCAACTTTGCCAGGATATGTCATGGGTGGTTTGGCTTGGTTTGCTATTCCAATGTTCGTTGCTACGACTATGGGCCTTACTGCCTTATCTTTGGAAAACACCCCTGCTTGGCCTACCTATCCTGCAAAAATGACCTCTGCCGAAGTCAGTGCTGGCTTAGTTTTGCCAAACGCGGCAGTTGCCTTATTGGGTAAAAGCGGTGCTGTGATGAGCCTCTTGCTAGTATTTATGGCTGTCACGTCTGCCATGTCTGCCGAATTGATTGCTGTGTCTTCCATATTCACTTATGACATCTTCAGGACATACATTGATCCAAAAGCTTCTGGAAAGAAGTTGATAATCATGTCGCACGCCTCAGTCATTGTTTTTGCTTATGTAATGGCTGGCTTTGCTATTGGCTTATACTATGCTGGTATATCAATGGGCTACCTCTATGAGTTGATGGGTGTGATCATTGGCGGGGCTGTTTTGCCCTCTGCTTTGACGTTGCTCTCCAAAAACCAGAATTGGACCGCAGCGACATTCACTCCCCCAATTGCGACTGGCTTAGCCATCATGCTGTGGTTGGTTTGCACTAAAAGTAAGTTCGGTAGCGTCACTGTTGATACCACATTTGAAGATGATTCTATGTTGACAGGGAACGTCGTTGCATTGTTGTCTCCGTTGATAATTGTCCCAGTACTCACACTTGCTTTTAAGCCTCAGCATTTTGACTGGAATATCTTGAAGTCCATCACACGAGTTAGCGAAGAGGAGGAATTACTCGAGGCAGAATCTCTGCATTCATCAGATCCCGAATACCTTGCGCCAGTCAAGTCCCAAATTACACAAGCTGCACGAGAGATCGCGTTGACTGAGGCCGATAACTATGAAGCAGAAAGCGCCCGATTAAATAAAGCGTTCAAATTCGCTTTGGGAATTTGTGTTTTTTTGGCTGTCTGCTTGATTTTGTTATGGCCTATTCCAATGTACGGCAGTGGGTACATTTTCAGCAAAAATTTCTTTACTGGTTGGATTGTTGTGTTGTTCATTTGGTCTTTCGTCACGGCTTTCATTGTCATTATTGGTCCACTATGGGAGGGTCGCGAAGGCTGTTACACAACTTTCAGAGGTATTTATTGGGACTTGACAGGCCAGGGATACAAAGTAAAACAGTGGCAGAACTCTCATCCAGAACAATTACATGCTGTGAGAAGCCAAGTGTCTGCCCAGTTAAGTGAGATGAAAATCATTGATGGGCGTTTGGTCTCTGGTGATGGATACACTACCCCAGTGCTTATTGACACGGCTTTGGAGGAAAAGAATATAAAAGACTAGGTAGTGTTAAAAATCTTGTGGTCTTTAGATGATCGTTCAGTCAACTAAATGTTTGAGGTGAGTCAGAAGATTAAAGAGGGTCATTTTGCTGATTCTGATCTCTTAGTCGTTTCTTGTGATGTTTAGTGTTTGGTTTCTGTGATTATCTTCACGTTAAGTAATAGAAAGTTTTGAAGTGTTTTTGGACAAAAGGCGGTGGAATGACGCCGCTTCTGATCCATTATTCTTCTTTCTTATGATTTCAGTTATGTAATAATACATCGGCGAAGTCCGGGTCCTGTGTATATGGCCTTATATCATTCTTTCAAGGGATTAGACAGTCAAGCATTGTAATTCACGAGTGCATATATTCTCTTAACCTTCTTTCAAAGTGTACTGCACAATCACGCTTATCGGCACAGAAGCCCCGGGAACATTGCTTCCGGTTTATACAGGTTTTCAAATTGCACACCTTTTATACCCGGATAGTAATCAATGACCAATCGCAGCAAACGGCTGCATGCCAACGCCACACTTCTGATTTTTTGAGCGCTTGAATTGAAACACAGCTGGCTGCAAAATTTTGGGACAATCAGCTTTTTGATTGAATATGGCTTTTAAGTGTGTCCTTAGATTAGTCACCAATCTTTTCTTAAATTTGTCGTTTTCTCCAATTTGTTCTTTTGAATTAAAAGTATCCATTTCGGAATTGCATGCTCTTCACGATTCTTTTAAAAAAAAAGTTTAAAAAGCAAAAAGCATAAATGATATTTTTGAAACTGCATTTGAAATACACATGGAGCAAATTTTTCTTGGAGTTAAATCTTATTACATGTTAAGTATGTCGTGGTTGTTTTTTTGATAGTGATGTCGGTCTGTCTTCCCAATAGACGTCTACTGGAATCTGTCTGTGGGTCATTGTCTGCAACTGTACTATACTACGTGGTGAAAACGTAATTTGAATGTTTTTGAACAAACGAACGACATTAGCGAGAAGTTCTCAGTTGAGCTGGGGAACCTCATATCACAGAAAGAAGTTGCTTCATATTCAGTAATTGTTTAAACAATGATCCATCAATGTTCTCCACAAGAAAATGAAACAGAATATCAGCACAATATCAGCACAGTTCTACTACATTGTAAAATCTAGTGGAAAGTGCAAAAAATGACCAAATTTTACAAAATTAACGAAATAATTTTTTGGATGGTGGCCAACTGTGATTTAAATGCCACGAATGTGATTTAAACGACACGAAGTGTTACGACAATTCGAGGCACATCAAAAGCCATCTTCACGATAACAGCTTAGCAACGAGAGGTTCAAGAGCTGATATGAAGCTCTGGTTTTCAAGTCAAGACCATTAAGCCATAAAACTTTGATTGTATCATCAATCACATGTATAAACAACAGCGAATTGAGCCTATGTTCGACAGAAAGGGGGGGGTCTTTCCAAAAAAGTTATCAGAATCACGCGAGGCAAAAGATTTCGGGCCTTGCATTGTCTCACTTGTTCAAGCTCATGATTTGACGGGCGAATGTAGAAAATCGGATTGCAAATATGGTCAGCAGGTCTACATGTGTATTTTACCATACAAACGTCTCACCAAAAATACGAGGCCTGACCTCAGGGCTACTAATACAAGAAGTGAAAATTGGAAGATCCGGCTCTGCCAGCCATATAGCGTATGTACTATTATCTGTATATATAAAAGCGTGCACAGTCTTTTCTATGTTCAAGTAATATCATTGGAGATGCACTCCGATACATAAGTACACTTCTTACATAAGTACACTTTTACAAGGCACACAAGGCGTGTTGCTTCGAACAATCTTTCGCTGGTCAGATGATTAGAAGTTTTCAATGTGAAAGATATTTCAGGTGGTGTTTTGAATTTTCTTTACCAGCAGATCATGTATTTGCCCAATGTCGCTGTGGGTGGTGACATCATCTGTTCGAATAAACGGCACCCGCAGAAAAACTCGGGCGGTGGCTCGCCCCGCGGCCGGCCCGTCGTCGCCTGCCATTTATCGCCATGGAGATCCCCGAAAGGCCTTCCGCTATAGAGCGATCGCCTGTATGCAGGTTATCAGTAGCGGAAGATCGCGATCGATCTTCTGATTAGTCTCAGCCGATGGGCCTGCGGCCGATAAGCCTCCAGCGATGAGCATGAACCATGTATCTATAAATATCCAGATGGCCGCCATACATTTGCTCTGTTTTGTTTTCCACATCTCGATTCTAGGATACCTTAAGGCCCTTCTGCGAAAAGCCTTATTGAATCTTAATTAACCGAAAACTTATCACTTGCATTTCACGGAACACTGTCTCAGATCTTACCTCTCACCTTTGAAGATCGCCCAGACAAACCGGGAATTTGATTTGATTCCACTAAAACACTCTCAAACTTTGCCTTGAAAACTCCACCGAAGAAACATGACCGACTACACTGGCTGGACAGTCAGTGAGTGGAAGAAGTTCCACTTCGATGCCACCCCCGACACCTCTTTTGAGTTGTTGACTCGGCTCTTGAAAGACCAGAAGCCTTCGGACCCAGCATGGATTTCGCTTGCGTCTGAAGACGATTTGCGCCACCAGTGGACTTTTCTCCAATCAAACAAAAATAAGAGATTGCTTCCTCTCTACGGTGTTCCAGTAGCAGTGAAAGATAACATCGATGTGAAGTCTTTAGCTACCACAGCCGCATGTCCGTCTTTTGCGTATAACCCCACCGAAGATGCCACAACAGTGCGCTTGTTGAGAAACGCCGGTGCTATTATTCTCGGCAAAACTAACTTGGACCAGTTTGCCACGGGCTTGGTGGGCACCAGATCGCCGTACGGCATTACGCCTAACACTTTCAACAAAGACTACGTTTCCGGAGGCTCTTCGGCGGGCTCGGCTTCAGTGGTTGCCCGCGGAATTGTCCCCATTTCCTTGGGAACGGACACTGCCGGTTCTGGCCGCGTGCCCGCAGCTTTGAACAACATCATTGGACTCAAGCCCACCAAGGGCGTGTTCTCATGTAAAGGCGTGGTGCCCGCATGCAAGTCCTTGGACACGGTTTCTGTTTTTGCCTTGAACCTCCAGGACGCACAATTGGTGTTCAACATCTTGGCCAAGGAAGACATCGAGCACGATGAGTATTCCCGCGCCTTGCCTGAAAATGTGTTGACGAGCTTTGCCTCGAGCCCGCGTGTTTCCGTTCCCTCCACTCTTACTTGGTGCGGAGAGAACGAAAACCCCGAGCTTTTTAAGTCGGCCGTCTCTCTCGTGGAGAAGACCGGATGTACGATGTCCACCATTGACATCTCCCCACTCTTGGATTTGGCCAAGTACTTGTACGATGGCTGCTGGGTCGCTGAACGGTACTGGGGCGCCAAGGAGTTTTTGGCCACCAATCCCCCGGAAAAGGACTTGGACCCCACTGTGATGCAGATCATCAAGGGAGGCGCCAATCACTCTGCAGCCTCGTCTTTTGAGTACGAGTACAAGCGCCAGGCCATTTTGCAGAAAATGAAGCCCATCTTGAAGAATGTTGACGTGATTGTTGTGCCAACAGCTCCCTTGAACCCTTCGATCAAGCAAGTTCAAGACGAGCCTATTAAAGTTAACTCTTGCCAGGGCACCTACACCAACTTTGTGAACTTGGCAGACTTGTCTGCTTTGTCCGTCCCTGCCGGCATCCGTCAAGACGGCTTGCCTTTCGGTGTGACCTTTCTCTCGCACAAGTTCAATGACTATGCTTTGTTGGAATTTGCCTCTCGATACATGAAAGTGTATGCCCAAGAAACCTCCAGATTCCATGGCTGCTTGAAAGAAAGCCAGGTCTCGCCTTTGGAAAATGTCGTCTACGCGCCATCGGAATTGCCAAACAAGGTCTTGAATAACACAGTCAAGTTGGCAGTGGTCGGTGCTCACTTGAAAGGGTACCAATTGCATTGGCAGTTGGAGGAAGTGAACGCCACTTTCGTGGAAGCTACTTCCACGTCGCCCAATTACAAGTTGTACGCATTGCCCAAGACAGGCCCTGTCGCCAAGCCTGGTTTGAGAAGAGTTTCTTTCCTGGGCTCAGAAATTGCTTTGGAAGTCTATGAAATTCCACTCGAGTCCTTTGGCAAATTTGTCAACTTTGTTCCAGAGCCTTTGGGAATTGGATCGGTGGAGTTGAAGTCCGGCGAGTGGATCAAATCTTTTATCTGCGAGGAGTCTGGCTACAATGCTCAAGGCTCAAAAGACATCTCTGAGTTTGGTGGCTGGCACGCATATCACGAGCACTTGAGCAGGGAGGAAGCAAAGACCAAAAGACCGTTCAAGTCCGTCCTCGTAGCCAACCGTGGTGAGATTGCCGTCAGAATCATGAAAACTTTGAAGAAGATGAATATCCACGCCATTGCCATTTACTCCAACCCCGACAAGTATGCTCGTCATGTGCTCATGGCTGACGAGTCGATAGCTTTGGATGGCGTTTCTGCTGGTGAAACATACATCAACATCGACAAGGTAATTGCAGCTGCCAAGAAGTCACGTGCAGAAGCCATTATTCCAGGCTACGGTTTTTTGTCCGAAAATGCAGATTTTGCTGATAGATGCGTGAAGGAAGGCATTGTTTTTGTGGGCCCCGCTGGTGATGCAATTAGAAAGTTGGGCTTGAAACATTCAGCTCGAGAGATTGCCGAGGCTGCCGGTGTACCTTTGGTGCCTGGGTCGGGTTTGGTTTCTGATGTGAAAGAAGCCAAGAAAATTGCAGGCGAGCTTGGGTATCCAGTCATGGTGAAGTCCACTGCTGGCGGAGGCGGTATTGGTTTGCAAAAGGTAGACTCTGAAGATGAAATTGAGAGGGTCTTCCAAAGTGTGCAGCATCAAGGAAAGTCTTACTTTGGCGATTCCGGCGTGTTTTTGGAACGCTTCGTTGAAAACGCCCGCCACGTCGAGATCCAAATGTTTGGTGACGGATACGGCAAAGCTATTGCTTTGGGCGAGAGAGACTGCTCTTTGCAAAGAAGAAACCAAAAAGTCATTGAAGAGACACCTGCCCCCAACTTGCCAGAGGCGACGCGCCAAAAAATGAGGGCCGCTTCGGAGTCTTTGGGCTCGTTGATGAACTACAAGTGTGCTGGCACTGTTGAATTCATCTACGATGAGAAAAGGGACGAGTTCTACTTTTTGGAGGTCAATGCACGGTTGCAAGTGGAGCATCCCATCACAGAAATGGTGACGGGTCTTGACTTGGTGGAGTGGATGTTGTTGATTGCGGCCGATACTCCCCCTGACTTCGATCAGAAAATCACGGTGACGGGTGCATCTATGGAAGCCAGATTGTACGCCGAGAATCCCGTGAAGGACTTCATGCCTTCTCCTGGTCAACTCACTGAAGTCAAGTTCCCATCTTTTGCCAGAATCGATGGCTGGGTCGAAACGGGGACTGTCATAAGCGCCGAGTATGACCCCACCTTGGCCAAGATCATTGTGCACGGTAAGGACAGAAACGACGCCTTGAAGAAATTGCGCCAAGCATTGAACGAAACTGCCATTTCAGGCTGCATCTCAAACATTGACTACTTGCGTTCAATCGCCAACTCGGAAATGTTTGAAACTGCTAAGGTGGCCACCAAGGTTTTGGACTCGTTTGACTACAGGCCAACTGCATTCGAGGTTGTATCTCCCGGTGCTTACACTACCGTGCAAGACTTCCCAGGCAGAAAGGGCTACTGGCACATTGGCGTTCCACCCTCGGGATGTATGGATGAATATGCCTTCCGTTTGGCAAACAGAGCCGTGGGTAACGACGAGGCAGCTCCAGGATTAGAGTTGACCTTGAACGGACCAACGCTTTTGTTCCATCATGATGCTGTGGTTGCTGTCACCGGAGGTGTGGTTGATGTTGATGTTGATGATAATCACGTTGATTAGTGGAAACCAATCCAGGTGAAGAAGGGCCAGAAATTGATTATTGGAAGATTGCAGGCGGGGTGCAGGGCATATGTCGCCATTCGCGGAGGAATCGATGTCTGTGAATACTTGGGGTCCAGATCAACATTTGCTCTTGGAAACTTGGGTGGCTACAACGGACGTGTTTTGAAACTTGGCGATGTTTTGTTTTTGGGTCAGCCCGAGTTACCCAGTTGCTCATTGCCTCTTCCAGTTTCCGAGCCTCTTGAGGTTCCTTCGTCTTTGATTCCATCCTATGACTTCAACGCCACTAATGCGTGGAAGGTTGGTGTGACTTGTGGTCCTCATGGTTCTCCTGACTTTTTCACCCAAGAAGCTGTCAAAGAATTTTTCGCTTCCACCTGGAAAATTCATTATAACTCCAACCGTTTTGGTGTGAGATTGATAGGCCCAAAGCCAAAGTGGGCGAGAAAGGATGGAGGTGAGGCCGGTTTGCACCCATCCAACGCACACGACTACGTCTACTCAATTGGTGCCATCAATTTCACTGGTGATGAGCCTGTTATCTTGACTTGTGATGGTCCATCTCTTGGAGGCTTTGTGTGCGAGGCAGTTGTTGCCGAAGCAGAAATGTGGAAGATTGGCCAGGTCAAGCCCGGTGACCTGGTTCAGTTTTTCCCAATCTCTTACGAGACTGCGAAGAGCTTGAAGGCATCTCAAGACAAGGTCATCCAGGAGCTTGCTGGGGATGTGCCTTCATTCGAAGGAAAAACGTTGGCGGAAGCTGAAGACCCGGTTTTGGCTCTCATTCCCCACACTGCATCCTCGCCAAAGATTGTTTATCGTCAAGCTGGTGACAGATATATCTTGGTGGAGTACGGCGAGAACAACATGGACTTCAACTTGTCATACAGAATTCACAAGTTGATCAGTTTGGTGAATGACTTCAACGTGGAAGGTATAGTGGAAATGTCTCGTGGCGTTCGCTCGGTGCTTATTGAATACGATGCAACAATCACGCAGAAGAAGTTGTTGGATATTTTGCTTGCTATTGAGAAAGAGATTGTTACCGTCAACAAGTGGAAGGTCCCTTCGCGGATCATCAAGTTGCCAATGGCTTTCGAGGACCAAAAGACAATGGACGCCGTGACGAGATATCAGGAAACGATTAGAAGCGATGCGCCTTGGTTGCCAAATAACGTGGATTTCATCGCTTCCATTAATGGTGTCGAACGTACTCAGGTGAGAGACATGATGTACACTGCCCGCTTCATGGTCCTTGGCCTTGGTGATGTATTTTTGGGCGCTCCATGTGCTGTACCATTGGATCCAAGACATCGTCTTTTGGGAACAAAGTATAATCCATCCAGAACCTATACTCCTAATGGCACTGTTGGTATTGGGGGCTCATACATGTGTATTTATACCATGGAGTCTCCGGGAGGATACCAATTGGTGGGACGCACGGTTCCTATTTGGGACAAGTTGACCTTGGGTGCGCACTCTTCTGGGGACAAGCCGTGGTTGTTGAATCCGTTTGACCAAGTTGAGTTCTACCCTGTTTCGGAGGCTGAGGTCGACAGGTTCACCGAGCAAATGGAAGCTGGGCACTTTGATGTCGAGATTGTCGAAAGTGTTTTTGACCATGAGCAGTACATGCACTGGGTTCAAGACAATTCTGCGTCTATCGAAGAGTTCCACCAGAAGCAAACTGGCGAAAAGTTCGAGGAATTCAACAGGCTCATCCAGGTGTCTAATGCCGAATTAGAGGCTGGCAAGGCTGGACCTGCTGTTTTTGAAAAGGACGAGTTCAGCGAAGAAGCCGAAATGGTTTACTCAGAATACTCTGGAAGATTCTGGAAGCCGTTGGTAGAAGTGGGTGATCTTGTGGAAGCTGGACAAGGAATGGTGGTGGTTGAAGCCATGAAAACAGAGATGGTGGTCTGTGCACCCAGTGCAGGTAAAGTTGTCAAGATCTGCCACAAAAACGGTGATATGGTTGACGCTGGGGACTTGGTCGTTGTGATCGAGTAACGAGTCTTAGCAAACCGACAGATGTTTTATTTATGAAAAATCGGCCTATTGGTCGATCATGGTCTGCAGGTGTCCCTGTGAGAGGGGATGGCTGCGAAAGAACAACGAGTTTATAGGAATATGCAAAATTTATGTGATACCAGTCACCTTTTAGACTTTTACTTCAGACGAAATTATGGGCGAACCAGAGAAAAATCACACATCACCGAAAATGGCCTATGTGATTAACTGTGGCGATATAACTTTCTGGTGTGCGTGATCTTGAATGCATTGAGTGACATCCTTTTCCAAGTGGGCGTTTCGAATATCCAGACGTAAAAAGTTAAAAAAAGCCCTGAATCACCGAATTCATTTATTTTCAGGATTCTGGAACGATACCTCAACTTCAATAGGTACATATGAAACCTGTAGTGTTCAGTAGAGAAGGCGCGGTCCGACACGTCTTGTAGTCGCGCGCCCACCGAAAACACGGTGCAAGGTCTAATTCACACCGAACTGCAGTGCTTCTAACAGACGGTACTTGCAACGAACAGAGCAAGTTCGTATTTCAAGCCGTCTTCAAGCAGAAGCTTTAGTATTTTTTAAATCACAAGATGGAAAGCGTGGGCCCCGCTATCGCATCGCTCCAGCCTGAGCTTTGGACAGCTTCTCTGAACGAAGCCATCACAATATATATCACGGACACAGCTGGTTCTGCTCAGTCATTCCAGCCCTCTTTCACGTATCCTATATTCGGGGAATCTGAGACAATCTTCGGGTACCAAGACTTGCAGATCTTTCTCTGTTTCGATTCAGTCACTTTTCTCCCTTTCCTCAACGTGAAGTGGTCTCAAAAGCTAGATGAGGTAGACGTTGATCCAAAAGAAAAACTATTGGAACTCTTGCCAGAAAGCACCGTATTCAAAGATGAGCTCAAGTGGAGGGACGCCATTGATGCGGAGCAAAAGGAATACAAGATCCCAGGAGAAATCGTCGGCGACTCATGGTCCAAAGACGGTGAGACATACGGCATCTACAAAATAGACATGTCCCTGAAGCTGGGGGTGGAGTTGCTTAGGAGGTTGCAAATCCTCGTTCTTCTCTTCATTGAAGCGGGGACGTACATTGAGCACGATGACGCTAAGTGGGATATCTACGTGATGTACAAAACAACCGACCCTAAATTGCCCGAAATCGTTGGGTTCGCCACTGCCTATAACTACTGGTCATATCCAGGGGCAGAAAAATTTGAAGCGGGCGAAACGCGGATTCGCAAGAAGCTATCCCAATTTATTGTCTTGCCCGTGTTCCAGGGACAATTGCTAGGTGCTGATATGTACGCCAAACTCTACGATACATGGGCTGCGGAACCAGGTGTTCTGGAGATCGTGGTGGAGGATCCAAATGAGAGTTTTGATGACTTGAGAGATCGAGTTGACTTCACGCGTTTGGTAGACACAGGCAAGATTGACTTGAACACTTTTTCGATCAAGGTGGCACAACAAGACGGGTTCCTCAATGATTTCAAAACAGCAGAGAAGTTGGAAAAGCGACAACTGCAAAGACTCTTGGAGATGGCGTTGCTTTACCAATTGAAGCATGGTCTTTCTAGGGACTCCAAGAAGGATGTTCGTCTTTATATCAAGAAAAGACTTTACGAAAAAAACAAAGAAGCCTTGAGTGACATGGATGAGCCCACCATGCTTGACAAGCTTCAGACAGCTTATCTAGCCTTGGAAGACGACTACTATCGAATTCTCGAGCCTGTGAAGCTCTCGCATAAGCGCAAGGCAGCCACGGATGGTAAACCTACCAAGAAACAGAAGAAGTAGTTTTGTCATGAAGCGAGAATTATAATTTGAAAAACATTGAAAACCTAAGTTTGCATGCTGCGTTATAGCATTGTTGCGTTGGGGGTCTTGCACCCTTCGGCCGATTCTCTTGTTCTTTGAAAATAGAGTCTTCCGCCTCGCTCATGCAGAGGGGTGCTGCTCGCTTTTTTACGGCTGCTTTCATGCATGTCTATTGATGTGCTTGTCAGCGTAAATTTTTAATATACAAACCCTGAGGCTATATTTTGCCCGAAGTTTTATGTGCCCGGTCCAAAAATACAAGTCTACGACAAGTCGTAAAGCGGGGTCGGTGCTGAGGACATGTTCAGGTATATGTATCATGACGTCAACCTAGCCCCATTTCCAGAAACGATCCTGCAGAATCCTCTTCTCTGCTCTCGCAATTTTCGCGGAATGGAGCAATCATGCACCACTTGAGCATGCACTGGGGACCATCGGTTAGCGATTGCGCTAAGCAACCCTAGTTGTGAGGTACCATTGTCAGTGCCTAAAAGACGTGCCATGACCAATGGTTTGTGTGACTCAAGAGCAAGTGGAACAATTTGTTAAAGTCCATCAAACGTCAAAAAAAAAGTATACCTGTGTTTTTTCGTTGGTCCGAGGTTCGCAGTGGGGAGTCTTCCAAGAGCCGCACATTGCTGCGGGTTAATGAACCATACTTCGATGGAAGAGGAAAGACAATAGGAAGCAATGAGAAAGCACCACGACAGTCTCGCAACAAAATGTACGCAAAACACAACTGAATCAACTCACAAAAAAATTCAAGAGCCACCCGCTACTCCATTAACATGTGGAAAGAAGGCGGAGTCTCAAAGAGCCTGGAATATTTGGTATGGTGGAAAGTCCTCCTTTGCCTGATCGTCAGGCGTGGGTAAGCAAGGGATCATGCATCGACCGCCGCGCGCACGCTCTCAATTTGGGCATTCTCCCTTCTCGGCATCACCCCACATATATAAAGAACGATTCCCGCCCCGCCTTCGCCAATTTTTTAGACCAGCAAGAATCAACTCGACTTCCCACCACACAAAATAGCCACAATGCACAGAACCTACTCCATGAGATCCCAAAAGGCGCCAACTGCCTCGCAAATGCAATCTCCACCTCCCCCAACTTCTTCCACCAAGTCGAAGTTTTTTGGCAAGGGGGGTCTCACCTCTAGTTTCAAGAAGAGCTTTGCCGGTGTTTCCTCTCCTGAGTTGTCCAAGAAATTGACCCAGTACATCAAGATGGAGAAGAACGTCATGAGAGCCATCGAATTGACCGCCAGAGAGCGCCGTGAAACCGCCAAGCAATTGTCCTTGTGGGGTGAGGAGAACGACGAGGATGTTTCTGATGTCACCGACAAATTGGGTGTTTTGATTTACGAGATTGGCGAGTTGGAGGACCAATTCATCGACAAGTACGACCAGTACAGAATCACCTTGAAGACCATCAGAAACATCGAGGCTTCGGTCCAGCCTTCCAGAGACAGAAAGCAAAAGATCACCGACGAGATTGCTCACTTGAAGTACAAGGACCCACAGTCTCCAAAGATTTCTGTCTTGGAGCAAGAGTTGGTGAGAGCAGAGGCTGAGTCCTTGGTCGCCGAGGCTCAATTGTCCAACATCACCAGAGAGAAATTGAAGGCTGCTTTCAACTATCAGTTTGACGCCATCAGGGAGTTGGCGGAGAAGTATGCTCTCATAGCCGGATACGGTAAAGCCCTCTTGGAGTTGTTGGACGAATCTGCCGTCACCCCTGGCGAGACAAGAGCTGCTTACGACGGCTACGAGGCGTCTAAGCAAATCATCATTGATGCCGAAAATGCATTGGGATCCTGGACTTTAGACTCTGCTGCCGTCAAGCCTACCTTGTCCTTGCATCAAGAGGACGCCGAAGAGCCCGAGGAACACGAATTGTACGAGGCCGAGGAGGAGTTCGCCAAGCACGACGAGACCAACGGCGCCGTTTGAAGCCCTATCTTTCTTGCCGTGTGACCTTCAATTCAAAACAGAGTCTGAATCCTATTGCCCCCTGGTAATAACGATGGCCACCTAGTACCTTGCTGACTCGACCCGTCTCTCTTTCACTGTATTATGTATCTAATAATTTTAGTAATTAAAATCGAAACACAATTGTGATGCCTAACTGAAGCTGATGTTGATCTCTGCTGGCTCTGAAAGTCCGAAGTCTTCCCTAGCTTTTGCCAGAATAATAATTGAGCCGGAACTAGCTAGTTGAAGGAGACACGAGACAGCGTTTGCGGCTAGACTTCTAGGAACTGGAGTCTCCTCGATCGATGAGCGACTGGGAATGAGAGATTCAAGGGTAAAAAGAGACTCTTGGACCTTTTGCACATTTTTCTCGGCGACCTGTCGTGCTCTTTCGTGTAAGAAGTCTTGGAAGCTTTCCAACTTGCGGGCATCCCTTGAATCGTCGATCTCAGCCTCCCCGATATCCTCTAACATTGGCGAGAGAGGCTCAATGTCGAAATCGGCAATTCCCTGAGGATCACCCTCAGTTGAAGCGCGAGAAGGGTTTTCAATGGCTATCTCCTCCGCGATACTCAGACTTGGTCTTCTGCTAGGCACATTTCTTCCCTGCTCAATTTCGTCGAACTCTCTCAAAAATGAATCGAGCTTGGAAATCGTCGGGTGTCTGGTTGACAGAGGGAGGTTGGCAGCGCTCATACTGGCAGTATAGAAGGATCCAAAAATTATTTTGTAGCACATATTCAAAAATGGTGGTTGGGTCAAACTCATGTCGTAGAACACATTGGACACCGAATTAGGAGAAGACAAACTTTTGCAGGGACTCTCTGTGAGCCTTCTCTCATTACCCACGGTAGTGATTTCATCGTAGATTGGTTTTAATTTTCTTCTCTTATGCGTTTTTGCAGCCCCGGTGTCCAAAGGAATTGCCTTCGATCGATGGAGTCGAAGACAAACGTGCTCATCGGTTTGGTTGGATTTAGAAAAATCTTCAAAAGAGCCACTCACAGCGACAAGGTCCTCTTCTAGATTCAAATCGCGCAAAAAGTCAGCCTCTTGAATGAGTTGGTTGCTCCCCTCGTGCCCCACAAGTTCGCCATCTTGGTTGAATTCAAAATCAACGGTGAGATCCTCATCTAGCAGTATCTCCTTGGTACTCATTGTTTTGTCCATAAACTCCATAAACAGTTTATCCTTTGCATCAGCAGCGATATAGGCAGGGACTATGGTCAAGCCAGTCTCCCCGTTGGTGTCTTTATCTTGGCATCTTATTGCCAATGCATTTTGATCCGATTTGCTCAAAGCGACATCCTCCTCCTCAGAATCATGGAATTCTGAAAAAAAATCTAATTCCATCTCAAAATTAGCACTATCTGGTTTACAAGCTAATCGAGTGACTGGTGCTGAAGTTTTTGGATCCGCAGTATAGCCGTGGGAAACTACTTTTTTCGTGAATAATGGCGATGTGATCCGATCACAAACTAGTGACAAATCGGTAGCCATGTAGGCTACCTTTTGCTTGTAAATCAAAGAGAGCCCATACAACAAATTGGATGTCAATCTCAAATGACGCGCTTCTGAAGCTATAGAAGTAACCTCGTCGCAAATTTTTGGAATCGAGACATCTTTGAGTTCACGCTTCAGTGTTCGTCGGTAAGCAGTTTTGGATGTGCCGACTGTGGCCATGAGCCAAGCTTGTGCAAGACCGCCATCTTCTTTCTGAATAATTATGTTATTCATGGCGTTCTACTTTTAATGTGTTAATTTTCAGCTTATCAAGATAAAACAGATACGTTTACCCTGGCTAGATCAGAAAATAAAGGCACGTGCAATACTGGTGCGGGCGTTTCAACACTTTTTTTGCTAGGATAAAGCTGCCTTTTTATAAAGCCACCACACTGTTTTCATCTTCCCCTCGCAGAGTTAGCCACGTGAAAATGTACTGAGCCGCGTTGGTTTCTTTTTTTGGTGCTCTTTTATCTTATAAAAGAGACACACATTTGATCCGACTTTCGCAGGAATTTTTTCGACAGGCGCAGTTTTTGCAACCAAGCTCATAACCTTGGCGCGCTCTGTCCCGTGGCCGTCGCTCGGTCATTAACGAGCTTCCTGCAGGTATGTCTCCTATCAGTGCGCCTTACTTATCACGGAGCAAGAATGATAGACCATTTCCTATGCTAGTCCCCTATCTCTCTTGAGTCCGCGTTCCTTTTTCACCTAGCTCATACACCACACCCTCTGTAAAATGGTTGCTATCCACCGCTTTGCCATTGCTGGCCTTGTTGCATCGTCTTCGGCCTTTGTTATTCCTTCTCTTGACTCCTTTTTGGATTCGGTGGGGAATGCTGTTTTTTCCGAAAAGAAGAACCCAGACTCGCCAAAGATCATTAACACTTTCCCCACACCAGACGACAGACCCGTTCCAGGAAATGCGCCAATCATTAACTGTGAGAGCTCTTCTCCGCAGATTCTAGACTTGCAAAACGTTGTCATTGACCCGAACCCACCAATTAAGGGCGAGAACCTCACATTCTCTGCTGTTGGTTTTTTGACTGAGGATATTGAGGAAGGCGCCTACGTCGACGTGGATGTTCGATATGGTTTCATTAAGTTGATTCATCAAACCTTTGACTTGTGTGAGGAGGTCAAGAACGTTGATCTCGAGTGCCCAATTAAAAAGGGTGAAAACATCATCTCCAAACTGGTGGAAATCCCTGCAGAGGTACCTCCTGGAAAATACGTGGTCAACGCTAGAGCCTATTCTAAGGATGATAAGTTGATTACTTGCTTGACGGCCACAGTTGAATTTCCTGCAACCAAGTGATGCTCAAACTTAGCGGCAGTAAGAGCGCATACTCCCAGTTTCACGTCTCTGTTTCTACTTAAAGCCAAAGGAATTACCACAAATCTTAGATACACTTTTTAGAATACATACGAAAATGGCATATGATTCTTTACGCATGAATAAATACATCTGTTCCAAGCACTTGGCTCAACGTCCAAGTCAACTCCGCGCTAAGCAGAAATTACTAAGTTGGCACTAAGCGTATCGAATCTCTCCTTCATTAACTTAGCTTGCACGATCAAAAGCTCGTTAAAGACCAATTGTCCTTCTGGCGTCCTCAACAAGTCTTTCAACTTCTCTGCCGTCAATCTCCACGCCACAGTATCGTTCACCGCTGTATAGGTTGTTCTCCTATAAGCGCTTAATTCGAGCAAATCGCCAAAAGCCGTGTTTGGCAAGATAGATGACGGAAGTTCTCTGTAATCACTCTCAAACTTGAATGATGAGCGCACTAGTCCGGATTCTAAGATGAAGAACGAAGGATCGTTGACACCAGTATCATAAAAGGTCATGCCCTGAGGAATTTTCTCCATGATGAATGAAGTAGCTACCTTGGCCCAAAATGATGCATCCTTTTCCGACAAACCATTAAATGTGATCATTAGAAGAGGTAGCGGCTTCTGCTTAAAGGAATTATCTGTGCTGGAATAATATTTTCTTTGCATTTTTTGCTCGTCCTTGACTTTCTTAGTGGCAGCCTGATACACTTGGGTTGTACGGGGAGTGCCAAAGGCCATGTCAAAGCCTGGAGACATGACTGACTTGCTCAGCGGCGAGCCCAGTTTCATAGTAGAGACACCGCGAATTTGCTTTGTTGGAATGGCATGGACTTGAAGCTTGTTGTAGGTTTTCAAGAAAGAGTTTTCACACCATTCGAGCGCAAAGTTTAAATCATCAAAAAGCTGGATGTCCAAGTCACAAGCAGTGTCCCATAAACCGGCGTCACGTAAGGCATTCACAATCTCGCTGTCCTCTTCTACAGAGGCAATGATCAATTGAGTACTAAACTCATTGGTCAAGTTTAAGATTCGCCGGAAGCCTTCCGCCGCAGAGAAGTCAATTGAGAACACGCTTTTCATGTCGATGATCAAATATTTGATTGGGTTCTTGCGAAACCTTGTTTTTTCAAAGATGTCTCGTATGGAATCTTCCACCCCACCAATGGAGCCGAAGAAGACAGTGCCTTGCAATTTGATTACACAGATCTGGCTTCCCACATCCTTCAAGAATTCTTGCTGTTTGGGGTGACGAAGAACTGTCGAGCGAGCCACCACACCAGTGTAAATATCTTGCACGACGGGTCTTCTGGCAGCCTGTACAACAAAAGACAAACAAGCCAAGAGAATACCGGCCAAGACGCCATAGACAAAGTCCCAAGCCCCCATGACCACAACGATGATAAGAATAGTGGAGTACTCAATTCTGCGCAACCTACCCCATGTATCATAAATGGCCTCCTTGAGCAATTCATAGCCCAACAAGTAGATGAGAGAGCCCACGACGCAAACTGGAATATAGCCAATGACAACTGGGCCAGTGACCATGACACCCGCGGTAGCCGCGGCCAACATGATCCCAGCTAGCCGGTCATCAGCGCCTGCTCTGATGAACAACACGGAATTGGTATATACCAAGTAATTCTGGATGGAGCCGACCAAGCCCGAAAGTGCATTGGAGTAGCCGTGCGCAACCAATTCCCGGTCAACGTCGAACTGGTCCATACCCACGCTGACTGCGAGAGCAGGGACGTTGATGGGCACGTGCAAAATGCCGAAAAACGTGAGAGCTAGCATGGTGGGGAGCTCCCGCAAAATGCAAAGCCAGTCCACCAAGTTGAAGCGGAATAGCTGGTAGTGAGAGTACCATGGCTCCTTGGTTTCGACTGCGGGAAAGACCCAGCCGTACTTCCTGGCCATGTCCAAATCCCAGGCCCCGACCGACGCAACAATCGCATGGAAGGCGATGAACACACCAATGAAAAACATGGGGACCAAGAGCGAGTGGTGGATCTTCTGGTGGAGGAGAATCAACACCACCGTGAGAAGAAGCGGGACTGTCCATTGCATCAAGGTCAAATAGTTGTCGAACAAAAAGTGGAACGTGGGCATATCGTAGAAAAGCCCGCCCTCGAGGCGCGAGGAGACTTCGATGCCCGTGACTACCAAGAAGTAGCCCACGCCGCCGATGCATCCCACCAAGATGTGTCTGGGGAAAAAGCCCACTAACGAGCCCAACTTCAACTTGCCGAGGAGAAAGAAAATCACCCCGGTGACCACGGCCGAAAACGCATACGTGACAATGACCGTGGCGAGAATGGCCTCGTCCAGTTTGTCCGCCATGTTGGCCGCGATGCTGAGGGCCATGGAGTGGAAAAACGGGGTCACCTCGATCATCTCGGAGCCAATGCCCGATTTGAACGCGGAGAGCCCGCACGAGTAGACCAACTGGGAAATGATCGTGGAGATGTAGAACATCGAGAGTCCGGTGGGGGCCATTTGCGAGAACACGGCCTCTCCGATGGGGAACATGATCATGCCGTACGACAAGGCATCGAGCACGTTGAGCAAGGTCCCCAAGAACACTGCCGGCACAAAGGAGGCGGCCTTCACAAAGATGTTGCTGGGCCCGGAGAGGTCCTTATCTGTACGCACATCCTCGTGGGGTGTTTTGGGCAAGAGGCCGGGGCCCGCGTCCATGGCCGCTTCGAGATCGTTGGGCGAACGGCGTGTATCGTGCCGGAGCGTGGCTGCATAGAAGCTCTTGGAGCTGTCGACTAGCGGGGTCATGCTGGAGTTGTCTGCAAACTGGGGCTCGGCATATGCCAGGGCCAGGCCCCGCTTGTACCTAGCGGAATCTATGGGGATCGGCGGGTGCTCCGGCGTGTACTCCTCGAGCTCCCGGTCGTCTATCGCCACGGTGTCGTGATCCGTGACGCCGATATTGGCCAAATCGGCGGTTTCCTGGTGCACCTCAAGACCGGATAGTATGGTGGGGGAGTTTAGCGACATGGACGGCCGGTGTGACATGGACACATACGACCGGCCCCCGAAGTCAAAGTTGTCGAGCGGATTGTGCTCCTGCCTGGACATGGCGTGAACAAGCCTGGGGGTCCAATGGGCACAGTCTTATCTATTGCTGGTGAGTAGAGAGCCACCAGAGGATGCCGAATTAGAAGGGCGGCTGCAAATGTAGGGACCAAGTCGGGCCAAACGGGCTTTTGTGCCTGGGATGCTCGATTGGTGAGTGCTACTCGGATCCAGCTTTCTCCAAAAAAGCGGAAGTAGGGCAGGCTCGAAAGAACCGGGGCCAAAAACGTGCGGAATTCCTAAAACGTCAGATGGGCCCTGCGAAGAGGCAGTTGACTGCTAGAAGACGGGCAAGAATGACAGATGCGGCCGAGCCTTGACACGTGGTGTTTGGACGTGGCGGAACAAAAGCAGGAAGAAAAGAACAACGGGCGGAAAACCCGGGAACGCCGCAGAGCAGTCAAGATGTAATTTCCAGATTTCCCTGGTCTTGCATAGGCCCGCAAGGGCTCGTTTAGTGCCTGAGGTGCCTGCACCCAGCGCGCGGTGAGCCTGCCTGTTTGGCTCTCGATAACACGGCCGATAGCAAGACGCAGGGCACGTGACCTGCGCCCAGCAAGCCAAAGCTTAAATTGAAAAAGTTTTTCGGGAGGTATTTTTGGCACCCCAAAACCCGCCGCTTCGCCGCTTCGCGTCTTCGGCTCTGGTTTCTGCCAAAGGCAAAAAAGCTATGGCGAATTCCAATGGTGTTCAGCAGCGGTGCTGGGCCTGCCTCACTGTTTCCTACTGTTTTCGGACGCGGAACAGGGGCCGTCCCGATAGCCAGAAACCAGAAAGAAAAAACAAATAGCCCCTATAGAATAGTCGCAGCGCAGGTATTTTGGACTCGATTTCCGGGCCCCATTTGCGACGATTTTTCAGCGGCCCTCTAGGATTTGACAGGCGGATCTTAAGCGTCGCCGCAACTCGCTCCATATGACGAGGCCCGGCAAGATGTCTCTACCATGTTGGTCCTGCACGTAGCCGGCCGGCCGAAGTCTAAATGATGATTACACCAAATACCAAACGCCATTTTCAGGGTCACTTTTTGCACCATGATATGAGAGGGCGTGGCGCAGTGCCGCGGCAACCTGCTTTTGCACTCAGAATGGCGGTCTTATTTCCTCATAGATGGCTTGTGATGGCCAATTTCGCTTGGGCCCATCCGACATGATATTGCTTGGGCCCATCTGACGTGGAACGCGGGTATGCGCTTAGGGCCGGCAGCTGGGCATGAATCCGGCCCGTTTCCCAGATGAACCAGATAAACCCTCGAAAAAACAAGAACAAAAAACAAGAACAAAAAACAAGAACAAAAGACAAGAACAAAAGACAAGAACAAAAGACAAGAACAAGAAACAAAAAGAAAAGACAAGAACAAGAAACAAAAGAAAAACCATAACAGCATACACAAATTACAGCAAAAAGGAACAAAAAAACAAAAAAAAAACAGTATAAAAAAACACCCAAAACAGGCCCCAGATTAGGCCTGCACTGGTGGGCCCCAATTCGGGCTTGTTTTTAGGCCTCTCTTTCCACTGGCCTCTCAGATCTGTTGCTCTACTCCCCGCATACATAGCCACGCGGCAACCCCAGTCGCACCTGCACAGCAGCTGCCTATAATTCCCTCGACTGCTCAACTCCACACTAACCTCTTCCTTATTATATAGCACAAGCGTAAAATAGCAGAAAGGATCATCTTTTCAACAACACCGGTTCACGAAGCGCAAGCCACTTCGCTTTTCTGCAACCAGACTTTTGGCGCACTGCCCCTTCCAGGCCCATTCAGCACCATGGCCCTGGAGATAAGTCCATTGTTGGCTCCTCAGCTGGCAGACGAACAAACCAGTTTTGACGACACCCGCTCCAAGTTCACTCTTGAGCTGCGGAATATCAAGCACTTTCTCCACAAGCGGTTCTGGTGGCTTTGTGCTCTTGGCGTTGCGGCCATCATCACGCTCCAGCTCTCGTTCTTGCCACGCACTTCCCCCAGCAGGGACTTCCGCCGCTGGCATGGCTTGCATTTTACCCGCTCAGATGTCAAGCGCATTTTCTTGGTCCAGCTGGATATTGGTGTTCCGGATGCGGACGGCAGAACCGTCGAGCAGAACTTGCTCGTGTGGCTCAAACAGCTCTCGGCAATAAACAGTAGGAATCCGCCGGTGGCGCGGGAGCCCGGGTTGCCGGCGGCGGCAAAAATGACGGCCTTTGTTGAGTCGGCCATGCGCTCGATGCACTTCCTGACGACGACACATACTTTCGCGGTCCTGGACAGGCGCCATTTACCCGTATCTCTGCTGCTCTGTCTTGTAGACGGGACGTCCTCCCGTGTGCTATACACGGCCATGCTCCATGAGCCAGGCTCCGAAATGCCTGCTTACTACTTGTTTGGCAAAAACGGCACTGTCCAGGCTAACTACGTATTCTGCAACGCAGGCACGCCAGAGGACTTCCGGCTTCTTGAGGAACAAGCTGTTCTGCTCAAAAACAAAATCGCCGTTTTCTCGCATTCGCTTCTGTCGGAATATGCTTTGGAAGACAAAGTCGAACTTGCAGAGTCTGCCGGCTGTGTGGGCACTGTGGTCTTTGGAGATAAAGAGCTCGGCGAGGCAATCTCACGCAATTTCAAGCCTGCCCTGGTTCCAGAACCAAAGCTTCGCCTCCCAATGAGTTTTAAAGCCGCCGGCCCGATCTTGCTGACTCTCGCTCCTCCGTCCGCTGAGTTTGCAAACTGGAACTTTGGCCCCACCACTCTCGATGAAACACTCGAGCTTGTCCTTACATCCGAGTTTTCCGGCTCCCGCACAAACGCAACCAATGTTGTGGGTGCTATAGAAGGAGTCCTCAACGACAGCGAAATTATCATTGGTGCATCGCGTGATGTACTTACGTCCTCCAATCCCTCCAGTGGACACGCGATCATGTTGGAGACCATGCGCAAACTCAGCCACTTACAAACCATGGGCTGGAAACCGCTAAGGACCATCAGGTTTATATCTTGGGACGCCTCGCGTAACAGCGCCATGGGATCTTTGGAGAACGTGAAAGACGACGCTGTATTTCCCAGAAATCTCCCCATTCTAGCTTATATCAACCTAGATGGCGATGTGGTTACAGGGAGTCACTTCGCCGTGGACTCCAGCCCGTTGTTCAATCACATCTTGCGAACCACGGCAGATTTGATTCCTTTTCCTAGAAACTCGCCTTACTATAGGCGTCTTATCAAGGATGCTGGAGCGACTGCAGGCACTGAAAAACATCATGCGGCCGATGATGCCGAAAAACATGACAACGACGATTCGGAGGTTTCATTCCTTCGTTATTGGGGGAAGCAAGACCATAGCTCCATCAACAACAAGTTGGGCTACGTTTTTGCAGGCAAAGACTCCGGGACTTTTCAGCTTCGAGTAGACACGCCCGTGGTAAGTCTAAAATTCGAGCCCAGTCCCAAATTCAACGACACCACCTACGTCCCAGAGTCAGAGTCTTACTCGATGAAATGGGTCACGGAAGAACTCGACCCGAATCTCGACCTACATGCGCTGATGGTGAGATTCTTGGGTCTCTTTGTTCTCTCGTTGAGTGAGCATGAAGTTGTGGATAGCCGTGTCCGGCAATACTTTCTGAAAGTCCAAGAGTTTTTTCAAGAAATGAAAACCACCAACAAGCACATGGTGGATACATGGTCTAACGAGACGGTTTCATCTGAGTCTTTGAAAAAAAGCTCCATTTACTATGATGCACAAGAGGCAAAAAACGATTGGGATGGACCTGTAACATTCAAGGAAATCTTGAGCCAACTAGAGGAACTCATCAAATTAGCAGTAGATCAAGGTCGCGTTTTTGACAAGTACAACCAAGGAGTTGAAGACTTGTGGACGACAGACTACCCGTGGTACAAGATGATTCGGAAACTCCACGTGTACGCTAAGTTCAAAGTCACAAATTACAAGTTGCTTCGGTTGGAGAAAGAGTTAGGCCAGATGGTGATTGGGCTTGATGCAAAAGATGGAGACGTGGACGGCGACATGGCAGTCCACCACTTCATGTATGATATTCCGCAGGGAACACAGAGCATTGCAATCAAGAAAAAAAGAGGTGCGTTTGCAGTGTTTTATGAAGCTTTTGACGCCGAGTCAAAGGAGCAAGTGGTGAATGTGGCGGCTGCAAAATATGAACGACTCAAAGCTGTTTACAAAAAAATTACTTAGGGGCGCACTTCGGGCATGGGTATGGAATCATGGAAAAACTGGGAAAGCTGGATTAAAAGGAAAGACACCAAAATGTATGGGTGCACGCTGATGAGCTTTATAGAAGTATTTTCCGGGCGACACAAAACGCTCGGACCACTTTGAGGAGGTGGTGTGTTCTCCATGACTAGCAAAAGGGGAAAAATAATTCGTTGGAAGAATACTGTCACATAGAGCGTATATGATGAGAGAATCCGATCTTGTTTAAAGTAGCGATGATGGTTCGAAAACCATCGCTCGCTTAAACCCTCCGCGAGAACTCGCATGAGAACGCCTCCGAGGCTGGGTCTGGTGCTGCAGATAGGCGGAGCCGTTACAGTGAGATCATGCAAATTCCATGCATACAGAAACCGGCCCCGGACTTGCGTGCGAGTGCCCTGAAAAATGCCCAGCATCTCAACAGTCCTCTTTCTTTTACGTTCACGACATCGGTTTTCTGGCATCTAAAAGATTCATCATGTTTGACATGGCTCGATATTTTTCGATCCAAATCTTCTTCATTATTCTCCGCGAGACGTTGGAGACGGCCATCATCATCTCCGTGCTTCTCTCGTTCATCAAGAAAAGAGATCCGGAAGGCGACTCAGAGGACGCCGGCCGCATTCGTACAGTCAACAAGGGGCTCAAGCTCCAGGTGTGGCTCGGCGCGATTTTGGGATTGCTCATTTGCTTTGCCATCGGGCTAGTGTTTGTGCTCTGTTTCTACTTCATAGACACGGACTTGTGGTCCTACACTGAGAGGCTCTGGGAAGGAGTGTTCTGTCTTTTGTCCAGCGTCATCATCACGGTGATGGGCGTGGGGCTCTTGCGCATCAACAAGGTGATGAAAATCAAGTGGTGGGTCAAGTTGGGCGACGCGTACCAGAACGACCAGCCGCAAATCAACGATCTCAGTCCTGCCGAAAGCGACAGCGAGTCCACCACGGCGCTCCTCGGCACACCGAAAAAGAACGCGCCAAAGGAAAAGTTCAGTAAAAAGTACTTCTTGGCCATTCTCCCCTTTATCACCACGTTGCGCGAGGGCTTGGAGGCGGTTGTGTTCATGGGAGGTATTGGCATGTCGCAGCCACTCTCGTCCTTGCCCTTGGCCGTGCTCGCAGGGGTGCTTCTCGGCTCCGGGATCGGCGTTTCCTTGTACAAAGGCGGCAACAAGTTGTCGCTCCAGTACTTCTTGATCTGCTCCACGTGTTTCCTCTATGTGGTGAGCGCAGGGCTCTTGAGCAGGGGCGTGTGGTTCTTGGAGTTGGAGAAGTACGTGCGCCTCTGCGGCGGGCTAGACGTATCCGAGACAGGAAGCGGCCCGGGCTCGTACGATGTGGCCAACACCGTCTGGCACGTGAACTGCTGCAACGGGCTCACCGACGGCTGGTGGATGGTGGCCAATGCCATTGTGGGCTGGACCAACACCGCCACGTACGGCAGTGTGTTTTCGTACATCGGCTACTGGTTGTTTGTGTCGGTGTGGTTGCGCGTGCGCATGTCGGAGGAGCGCAATGGGCACTTGCCCTTTGTGCCCATCAAGTGGCAGTTGGCGAGGATCCGCAAGAAGGTCAGGCTATACGAGATGAGAAAGCAGCAGTCGCTGGGCTCCGGGGCCGAGCGATTTGCGGCTGCCGAGTTGGTGGAGGGGTGATTTGGCGGCACGCTGATGCGGGGGTCGGCACGACAGGCCGCCTGGGGTTGAGCACACATGGCCATGGCAAGATCCTGTGAAACTCCACCGACGGGTCCTTCTACGTGTTTGAGGCGGCCCCCGGACGGACGTATAGCGGTGGGCGTGTGGCCGTGATGCTTGTCGATCAGCAGTTTACGAGAGAAGGAACGATGGGCTGGTGACGTCATTGCGCATCATGCCACGGAGCGGTGGCGGTTTACAGACGAGATCCTTGGAGGCGAACCGCACGTGGCGCGGCGAGGACGGGGCACCGGGCTAGGGAGCCGCAGCGGTATTACACGCCGGCGAGTAGTTGTTGCTGGACATGTTGGGTGCGGATTTGGGTGCGGATTTGGGTGCGATGTCGGCCCCGCGCGGCCATACGGGCCGGGGAGGGAAACAACAGGGCAAAGGGTCCGCAAACGGCTGGGGGCGCCCGAACACCACACAGGGAAACGTGAAGAGCAGGCAATCCGAGCAGAAATAGGCGTGCTACCGAGCCCAGGCGCCCGTCCGAAGCATGGAGCGGTTGCCGGTTGCATACGTGCTGGCGTGGGCTTGCTTGGAACAGCGAGTGCCTAGAATACGCGTCGCGGCCCGCACATTCGATGTTCAAACAGGGCCTGCCGTGGCAAAACGCGGCGATGTTCACAGTACCCCGTGGGCCAAACAACTAGAGCCAAACAAAATAAGAATAAGGGGCCAAACAAAATAAAAGGAGCAAAACAAAATAAGAAAGCGAGCCAGACAGAATAAAAGGAGCAAAACAAAATAAGAAAAGGAGCAAAACTAAATATGAAAAAGGGCCAGCTTGAATAGAGCGAGCCTAAATGGAGCCGACCTGAGTAGCGAAACAAAATCAGAGCCATGCATCATCAGAAGTGTTCAACATCAGAGCCAGGCAAAATAGAGCGAAACAAAATTGAGCCAGACAAAATTGTAGCCAGAATTGAGCCAGGCAAATCAACGAATCAAAAATAGAGTCGAACACAAATAGAGCCAGACAAAAATGGAATGAAACAAAATAACGAAGCCATAATGGAGCGAGACAATATAACGAAGCAAAAATGGAGCGAAACAAAATTTGAGCCAGACAAAATTGTAGCCAGACAAATTTAGCCAGACAAAATCGAGCCAACAGCATCGAGCCAAACAAATTGGGCCAGACAAAATAACGGACCAACGATCGACCCAAACAAAACCAGAGCCGAAAATAACGAAACAAAAAAGGAAACAAAAAAGGAAACAAAATAGGAAACAAAAAAATAAATAAAAACAAAAACCGAATTAAACATGGAAAAAAACCCGTGTCAAAACGGAACCAAAATCCGAATAAAAACGGAAACAAAATCCGAATCAAAACGGAACCAAAATCCGAATCAAAACGGAAACAAAACCTATGTCAAAATGGAAACAAAACCTATGTCAAAATGGAAACAAAACCTATGTCAAAATGGAAACAAAACCTATGTCAAAATGGAAACAAAACCTATGTCAAAACGGAAACAACACCCAGCCATAAGCCGGACCCAAACAGCGCCAAACAGAGCAAGCACAGCGCGGCCCGGGAACTGGGGCCGCGGCTGGCGCCGCTGTTCTTTCTCGCGCCACGCCAGGATTCTCCAGACACGCTCGCTCCCCCAGCGCCAGCTGGGCCCGGCCCTGCGAGGCCCCGCAGCCTCGCGTGCTTATCTACCATCCCAGGCCCCAGGGCAAGGAAGAAAAAAAAAACATACCACCCCACCAACCCCGGCCACCACCACTCCTCTCGCCGCCTGGGCCCCGCCATTTGAACCTGGCGCATCCACACACACCCCCGCCCCGCGCAGAGACAACCCCGCCCTCGCCAGCGCCGCGTTCCCGCCCCCTGGATCCCCCCCCTCGGCCGTGCCCTGAGCCTCCTTTAAATCGTGTGTTTGCACCGATACCATGGCCCGCGACGAGTTGCAGGCCACCAACCAGCGCCTCCATGACCTCGAGCGCAAGCTCTCGCTCACGCTGAGCTCGTCGCTGACGTACACGGCGGCGTCGCACGGGCTGGTGGTGCAGAACCCGGCGCACTCGGGGCTTGCCCGCCAGAACATCCAGCTGTCGGTGATTCAGTACATCCGGGACAGCCAGCCGGGCTTCGACGCGGGCCGCGTGTTCACGGACCGCCAGCAGCGCCACGCCACGGCCTTTGCGCGCGAGTACTCGCCGGCCGGTGGGTCACCGTACACGGACTACTTTGATGCGGATCCAAGCGAGGGTCGCGAGGCCCGTGGCCCGGATCGGAAGAGCTATTATGGCCAGGATCGGACTGACGATGTCAGTGGCAACCCAAGAGAGCACTATGGCCAGGATATAAATGAGCACTATGGCCAGGATATAAATGAGCACTATGGCCAGGATCCAAATGATGATCTCCACAGGAACCCAAATGAGCACTATGGCCAGGATATAAATGAGCACTATGGCCAGGATCCAAATGATGATCTCGACAGGAACCCAAAAGAGTACTATGGCCAGGATATAAATGAGTACTATGGCCAGGATGCAAATGAGCAGTATGGCCAAGATGCAAATGAGCAGGATGGCCAGGATCCAAATGATGACCTCGACAGGAACCCAAAAGAGCACTATGGCCGGGATATAAATGAGTACTATGGCCAGGATGCAAATGAGCAGGATGGCCAGGATCCAAATGATGACCTCGACAGGAACCCAAAAGAGTACTATGGCCAGGATCCAAATGAACACTATGGCCAGGATCCAAATGACCATTCCGACCTGGACCTACACAAGGGCTTCGACAGAAATCCAAATGATGACGTCGGTGGGAGTCTAAACATGAACCTGGACCAGCACCCCGACCAGCACCTTGCCAGCGGGGACGGCTTTGGCACGCACTCCTCCGCAGACGACGACATGCTCCTCCCGCCGCTGCCGCCGCGGCTGCCGCCCAGGGAGTTGGACCCCTCCAAGTTGTACGGGCTTTTCGACTTCCTGGGGCCCGACCCCCTGCATTGCACGCTCCGCCGCGACGAGCCGGTCTACCTCCTCAACGACCTGGACAAATACTGGTGGCTCATCAAGAAGTTGAGCACGCAGGAGCGCCAGCTGTTGCCGCGTGGGCAGGCGTCGCCGCACGACGCGCTGGCCGCGCATGACGACGGCAAGATCGGCTTCGTGCCGGCGGAGTGCTTGGAGACCCACGGCGAGCGCTTGGCGCGCCTCAACTGCTTCCGCAACGAGGAGCTCGAGCGGTCCTCGCGCGACACGCTCCCGGCCCTGGGCGCCGTCAGCAGGGTCTCTCTAGACGAGTCCATTGATGGCAGGGGCCTGGGCGCCCTCCAGCGGTCCAGCTCCATTCTCAAGAAGGCAGGCACATACGTCCAGAGCAACAAGCTGGTCACGTTCGAGAACTTGGGGGACCTCCGTCTCGACGACGAAGACTCCGACCTCGACGACGTCATGGACTTCTCCGACAACTACTACTCCGTGGGGCATGCGGACGTTGCGGGCCGCGCCGCCGACAGCCCCGAAGAGCCCTCGGATGTCCTCAGCGACACCTATCCACCGGACGCGCCCTTGCAGATCCGGAAGCCCCGTGCCACTGCCTTCCCCGCGTCCTCGGACTTGGCCGACTTTGCGCAGCCCAGGCTACTATTCTCGGGCGACAACACCTCCATCGGCTCGTTTTCGCCGGACACGCCTCCCGCGAAACATGCCGTGCATGTCGCCAGGCCAAACTCCGCCGATGGCGACGAGGGAGAGCACTGCTTGCGGCGCTCGTTGATCATCGACCGTCTCAACATCGTGACCTTGGGAATGGACTCGCAGGCTGCCCAGACCGCCGCCGCTGCCCACGAGCCCACGTTCGGTGGCTCTCTAAGCCTGCGTGCTCATTCAGACGACGACAGCGAGGGAAGCATGTACGAGCCCTCTCCCCCCGACCGGCCAACAAGAGCACTGAACCGTGCCTTGAGCGGCATTGCCTACGGGGACAATGAAGGCCTGAACGACCAAATCTCCCGAAAGTCGCTCCTGGCGGAAGATTTCAATACCCCTCTCACAAGCGTCAACTCGGTGAACTGCGTGTCCACCTCCCCCAAACCACCCGCTCCAGTCGCCCGCGAGAAGAGAAGGAAAAGACCTGTTTACGACATGTTCCTGCCTATTCTCGGCCAGTTGGACGAGCTCACTGAAAAGCTTGCCGAGTTGGAGCACACTCTATAAACCGCTCAGCCAGGGACAACTGTATTTAATGGGGCTTTTCGATTGTACATTTGAAAAATCAAGCGTTGAAGCCGAAGTTCAGGATATAGGAGCGATCACACCAATGCTTTAATGAGTCTTGTTTATATGAAATTGTGAGTGAATGCGTCAATTTTTCCGTGCAGCACGAAAAGCTTTTCACACCTGGGGTGGCCTCTCTTGAACGACGAAAACGAATTTTCCGCTTTATCGGAACTAAACGCCTTTCAATCTTGACGTTTCGTCGCACGCTATGCGAGCAATTATCATACTATTCTGATAATACATGACAGCGGAAAACTTCAGTGCCCTGTATTTGCTTTTCAGATAGGTTTCAGGGCTACAACATTTAGCATAGTCTGTGAGTCTACTTTGACAGCGGGCAGTTTTCGAAGTTCAAGATGCATGTTCTCTTGTCTCAAGATCGTCTCTTCCAATGTCTATGTTGAGATTGGTTTTCAACTTCGCGTCTGACCTATTTTGTTTGATCGGTAATTTATGGCAACTATGTGTTGCGGGAACAAGCCCACAATCGCACAAGACTTTTTTAAAGTCGTTGGTCTATTTCGAGAGTTGATATGAGTGTACTCTTACCCGAATTTGCAATTTCAATGTAATTTGACGCAGGAGTTGTTTTCTTTTTGTTGGGTTTACCGGGATGTGTCTATGCTTTATAGTATGCGTGGAGGGAAGGCGTACGTTAATGTACTTTTGAATTGTCGAAACGGTTTCCGGTATTAAGGGATTCCATATCTCCTGTCGACATTTCGTGGTACATCAGAGCTTTACAAATGAAAAAACTTCATTTGCTCGAAGGACCTGTCTTGGCTTTCAGAATTCGAGGCCCGCAAGAAAGCAAAATCCAAACGACAACTTCTGGCTAATCTCTGTTATTTTAACATGGGAAAACATGATCAGAGTACGTACAGGTCTACTGGAGCATCGCCAGTATTACACGCCTTTCGAAGTGGCCAACGAAAAAACATACATGTTCTTCCTCGGCATAAAAACCAGGACATGGCTGCTCTGAGTTTAAGTCGTTCTTCGTTTGCCAGCAAACTAGACATGAACATCATCCTTGGCACCCTCAAGAGTACCTTTGTAAAATACCAAGGGGGCGTTAAACCCCTTTGGCAAAAACCAGCGATATTTATAGTGGGCAACTTTTTCTGTACAAAGCCTCATGGTGGTTCCAAAGCCAGGGCTTATCATGCCCGCATGAGTATCATAAACAAACGCAAAAATACAATTCCAATTTCAACAGAACCTAGTATTTGTACCCCGAAGATTCTGTTGTGTTTCGGTAAACTTGGGCACCATTTCAAACCGGCGAGAGAAAAGGCCAAAGATTTCCACCAAAACCGTGTCTTTCGTATTGAATACGTTCATAGAATTCCCGCATCGAATAAATCTTAATGAGCTCGAAGTCGAATGATGTCGAAACATTTCAATAAGACTTAGCATCGAGAAAGTCCCCTACTGAATAAGTCCTAGTACTGAGAATTCCTTGCATTCACGGAATCTAAAGAAGTCATCGAACCGAATGATATCCTGCTTTCTGAAAAAGACGATAGGGTGAATAGCGTTGCCACAGATGAAAACACAAGTATTAGCGACGAAGATGCAGCTCCATTGCACTTTCTTGATTTAGTAGGGAGGAAACTCTCCCAAGCATAACCTGCAAGTCTTAGTGATGTTAATGCGTCCAGGTGTTTCACCGAAAAGACAGAGATGATGGAAATGAAAATGTAATGGCGTGACTGTGGAAATCTTAGTCTCTGTAGATGCACCTGAACGTAGTGTTGTATGAGAAACTGCATCAAGCCCCAATTCCAGACCCGCACGTTAGAAGATGCTTAATCATAATCGTGGAGATCTTCTCGGAGGTTCGCGTTGTCCTCGTCACTACCGAGGTGAGAAATATCAAACTCGCTGATAGCACCTGTTGTGCTTGGCTTGTACTGAGCAAGATTTATCATTGGGAAATGTTTCATGGATTTTTGGAATAAGAGATACTGGGCGATATTTCCGCATCAGTCTCTGTAAGAAAGACTGGTTCCCCACGGAATCCATTTTTGCAGACGTTCAATAATGTTGCGCTCACGGCCGACAAATGAGCCTTTTTGCACAGACCAAAAAAGACGATCACAGTATCATGTAAGTATTTTATCAAATAAGTCCTAACATCAAAATGGACTCGCATTAAAAAGGACCGTATTGAAAATCCCAGTATCATACAAGTTCCGTGTCAAGTAAGTTCAATAATCCTAGCAACAAAAACGTCACGTACAAGTCCCATATAAATAAGTCTCATATCAAATAAGCCACATATCAAAAAAGTTCTAGCATCAAAAAGGCCCTAGCATCAGGAAACGTATTGGAAAAGTATTGAGAAAGTCCCGTATTGAATAAGTGATGAAATCGCATACTCGTATCGGTCCAGTATCATTAATGAATCCTAGCATTGGAAAGTCGCAGTATCATATAACTCCCATATCTAATAAGTCTTGGTAATGAAAAGCCTCAGCATCATACAAGTCCCATATTTAAAAGTCCGGTATTGGAAAGTACGATATTTAGTAAGCCCTAGTATTGAAAAGTCGCAGTATCGTGTAAAGCTTGTATCGAACAAGTCCTAGTATTAAAAAGGCCCCGTAATAAGAAGCCTAGTATCATACAAGTCCTAAATCTAATAAATCCTCATATTGAAAAAGTCTCATATCTAATAAGTCCCAGTATTGAAGGGTCACAATTGACGTAATTCATATATCGAAAACGTCCTACTTCTAAAAAGTCTCGTATTGAAAAAAATTCCATATCTAAAAGCCTTATATCGAGTCAGTCCATATCTCATAAACCCTAGCACCAGACAAGTCAGTATGAAAAGTAAAAAATTCCTAGCATCAGAATAACTCTAGCATCAAGAAAGTCCGATATCGAAAAGCCCCTATCAAGTCAGTCCAATCGAACAAATCATGGTATTGAAAAAGCCCATATCAAATCCCTGTATCATACAAGTTCCATACCTAATAAACCCTAGCACCAGACAAGCCAAGATGAAAAGTCGCATATCAAAAACTCCCTAACATCAAAAAGCCCCATATCGAAAAGCCCCAAATCAACCCATCCCAATCGAACCAAGTCAACTGAAAAAGGCCCATGCCTGGATTCTCAGACCCGCCGCATCGAAGAGACCCTCAGCCAAAGCCCGGGTGCGCGGCGCGAAGATCATCTCCAGGCAAGGAAAAAAACACCTCCACCACCAGAGGCTCTGCACTCCGCACAAAAAAACACCCCCCAAACACGCCGATCCGTACGCACCATGTGGCAGGCCCACCCGCACGAGCTCGCACAGCTCCGCAAGGTCTTCAGAGCAACGCTCCTGCCAAACAACGCCGAGCGAGGCGCCGCGCATGAGTTCCTCGCACACGCAAAGACACAGGCGCTGTTTGAAAACTACCTCTGCCAGCTCTTGGTGCACGACTCCGAGGCCACGCCCGACGTGCGGGCCGCGGCAGGCATGAACTTGAAGAACTCCGTGCTCCGGGACCGGCTGCGGCCGCGCGAGTTCCTCAAGGCCAGCGTCTTGATGGGCTTGATGCTGCCTGAAACCATGGTGCGCAACATCACGGGAAACGTGATCACGTCCATGTTTGTGGCGCTCGGCACGGCCGGCTGGCCCGAGCTTCTCGGCCAGCTCTTGCTGGTGCCGGAGTCGCCCGACGCGCCCGTGGCGTGCAAGGAGGCGGCCGTGCAGACCTTGGCCAAGATCTGTGAAGACAATGCCGTGGCCTTGGACAAGGAGTGCCGCGGCGAGCGGCCGTTGGACCACGTCACGGCGCGGCTCCTCGGCCTCGTGCAGGCGCCGCAAGCAACTCCCCAGCTCCGGGCGGCCGTGGTGCACTGCCTCAACCAGTTGGTGCCGTTGAAGTCGCCGCTGGTGCTCGTGTTCTTGGACCGGTACTTGCAGGCGCTTTTCGGCATGGCCAGCGACACCAGTGCCGAGGTGCGCAAGAACGTGTGCGCCGCGTTCCTCGGCGTCATGGAGGCGTGGCCCGACAGGCTCTTGCCGCACATGGACGGCGTGGTGTCGTACTGCGTGCACCTGATGCGGGACGCCGACGAGGGCGTGGCCATCGAGGCCTGCGAGTTCTTGCTAGCGCTCTCCGAGCGGCCGGACGAGGCGGGCGGCCCGTTGCTCAAGGCCCAGCTCCGGGCCGTGCTTCCCGTTCTCTTGGAGAAAATGGTGTACTCCGACGAGCAGATCGTCTTGATCGACATTTTGGACGAGCGGGACAACGCGCACGACGCGGACAGGCAGGAGGACGTGCGCCCCAACATGGCCAAGGGCAAGGGCGTGCACTCGGTCAGCAAGCGCGGCACCGCCCGCAAGCACCCCGGCGAATACGACTCGGACGTGTCTGATTCCGAGGGCGACGCCGCGGACGACGACTCCGACGACGACGACGACGACGAGCTCAATCTGTGGAACTTGAGGCGCTGCGCTGCGGCCACGCTCGACGCCGTGTCGCTCAACCACCCGCAGGAGGTCATCGAGACCACCCTCCCCATTTTGCAGGAGACAATTGTGTCCTCCGAGTGGCCCGTCCGGGAGGCGGCCATCTTGGCGTTTGGTGCCATATCCAAGAGCTGCACCGAGCTCGCGCGTGACAAGTTGCCCACCCTTGTCCCGTTCTTGGTCGACCGCATGAAGGACGCCGAGCCCCGGGTGCGCCAGATCTCGTGCTGGACGCTATCGCAATACGCCGCTTGGATCTGCGACGAGGCCCACGAGGGGGGCCAGTACGCGTCGTACTTCCAGCACACGTTTGAGGCCGTGGTCCTGTTGACGTTGGACCCTAAGAAACTCGTGCAGCACGCCGCGTGCTCGTCGCTCTCGCTGTTTGTCGAGGCCGCGGATGTGTCTCTCATCCAGTACTATGTCGGCCCGCTTTTGGAGCACTTTGCCAAGTGCTTCCTGAAGTATCAGCGGAAAAACTTGATCATTCTCTACGACTCCGTCTCGACTTTCGTCGAGAGGATCGGGCCAGCCGTCTTTGGCCTGACGCCAGAACACGCCAACGTCTTGTTGCCACCCTTGTTGCAGAACTGGCAGCTGCTAGACGACGATGACACGGACTTGTGGCCCTTGTTGGAATGCATGTCCGTGGTTGCTGCCACCATGGGCGAGGCCTTTGCCCCGTACGCGATGCCCGTGTACGAAAGGGCCTTGAAAATCTTGGCCAATGCCATCCAGCTCAACCAGAATGTGCATACAGACCCGCTTATCGAGGCCCCAGAGAAAGACTTCATGGTGGCTTCTCTCGACTTGATCGACGGACTAGTGCAGGGCTTCAAGGAGCACTCGGTCCAGATGATGAGCCAACATGGCGCCAATGTGATGGAGCCGGTTTTGGCCTGCCTCGAGGATCACGAGGATGACGTGAGACAACTGGCCTACGCCTTGTTGGGAGACTTGGCCATTTTCGCATGCGAAGCCACAATCGAGCCCTACATCGACAGAGTGGTCATCTGCATCGGAAACGAGATCAACAACTACTCGTACGGCACATACCCCGTCACCAACAACTCCGTCTGGGCCTTTGGCGAAATTGCCATCAAGGCGAACCCCGAATCTCTCAAATCATACATCCCCAATGTGGTCAACTTGTTGATCCCTCTCCTCAACTCTTCAAACACCCACCAAACAGTTTTGGAGAATGCGGCCATCTGCTTGGGCCGTTTGGGTGTTCCTGGAGGCGCACTCTTCATCGCGCATAGGTTGCCTGAATTCATATACTCCTGGTGCACTCAGATGATGTACGTGATAGAAAATGAGGAGAAAGAGTCTGGTTTCATTGGTATGATCGAAACGCTCAAGTCCAGTCCTGACGCGTCGTTGGGTGGCTTGGCTAATCCCGAAGGCCGCAAGAACTTGGCTTTGTTCATAAGCTGCATTGGGAACTATTTCGAGCCCCTGGAAGCTCTTAAGGAATTGTTTTTCCAAACCCTCATGAGCTACAAGGAAGTTGTCGGCCATGCTTGGGAAAGCCAAATCATGTCCTTAATTGACTCCGAGACAAGAGGTTTTCTTCAAAGCACATATGGCATTTGAGCATGAGATATGCTTACTGTTAGAAGAAAAAACAGCTTATTGCATGGGGCAAGTGGTGAAGATAAAGTATGAACGAATGTTGAGGTGCGCTGCCGGACTGCTCCAAACCCTTTGTTGGTAAGTGGGTGAGACTCTTTCAGACGTGAAAACACTTGTTGTGCTCAGTTCCAATCTTCGAAACAACTGAAGATGTATTCATGTCCCTCCTTTTCTCTTTCTTTCAAACTCGAAAGCAGGGATTTGAACACAGCATGGAATATAGGTCGAGAAATGTCATGTTGCTGCTTTCTACGTATAGATCAGAGTCCTTAAATGAGTATGACTGTATCAAGCGCTCTGGGGCTCTTTCAAGAATGTGGTTCTATGTACACGCAGTCCACGACTATATTCTTGAGTGACAATAAACAAATAAGCAAATTTATAGTGCCGATGGATTCAATGCCCAGTAATCTCCATGATCTGGACAGCGGGCTGTCATGCGACCTTAAACATTTGCGATGCGGTTGCTAAAAGCTGAAGGCAAGAATGCTTTGGCACAGGAGTACGCAAAGAATGTGATCGTTGTGGATCCAGAAAAGGATGAGTCAGTCCTGCCAATTCGAGACTTATATATGCATAGAATCTATTCCCCACGCAACAAGCCTCCTGTGTCCTAACCGCACTTCGTTTCAATCGAGCCCCTTGAGACCCGATTCCGGAGTGTCTCCATAGTGGATTTTATCTTCATCCTCGCCGTATAGCACCTCGTTTACAAGCCCAATGGGGAGATCCCATACACCGCTTGGCGCTTTCCAGAGCCAGTCTACGGGATCTTCTGGAGATACCGAGTGCTCGTCGGTGAAGACACGTAAGTCATCAAGCTTCAAAGTCTGGACCTCGTTATTATAGAGCGTGACCAGCACGTACAGATAGAACATCAGCATGAGAAAATACATGGGGATTGCCTGCGCCCAATACTTATCCGGATAATATGAGATTCCAAGAGAGAGGAGTACTGAATGTGGGGCCAAGATCCACATGACAAACATTGTGAGTGCTACTGCGGAGAGCACGTACATGAAAAAGCCTTTGTACTCGGCATACAGCGTGACATTTGTGGACACAGTGACGTCGGACTCTCGCGCAAGGCTATCCTCTGTCAGAAAGCCCATTACTGCTTGGAAGAATAAGGGAGGGCATCTTCCGAGCATATGAGCCGGCCGTGTCACGTGACGCCGCCCAGCGTCGTATATTTCTGTCTTTTTGAAGACATTCAAAACACCCAGACGCTGCGGCCTGGGGCCGGGCTGAGTTGTCTGACCTGCAAAAGTGACGAAAGCGCTTCTGTGTTTTCGTGTGAAATTTAGACACTGGACGGCGGACACATGCTTGCGTTTCCCCATATCGGATTCTGAGCAGGTTATTTGGGGCAGGAGTATCTAGCGTCAGCAGATACGCCAGATCTGCAGAAGCTGGTATTTAGTATCAGTTGGACAGCGTTTATTTTGTCGGTTTGGACCCATCGCCTGTGAACGAGGCAGCCGAAAACTAGACTTGGGACTTGGCGGAATGAGACGAGCTCCATATTGGCTTTTCGCAAGACACGTGAGAGAATAGAAATTGAAGCTTCATAACGCTTGCGTCAATGAGACAAGCGTGGTTTGCTTCCACTTGATTTGAAATCAGGTCTCAATTATTAGACGTACCAAGGTTAGTTTATTCTAGAATTTCATGTGTGCTCGTATTAAAAACATGGGTATTGAAAGGTGATGATTACCCTTTCGGTCACTTATTTCAGTTAGTAGCATTCTTATTACAAACGGTACAAGCCTATATTTGATCTACCTACTGATAATGTGATGTTGATTGATTGATTTTTCATACCATTCATAACAATAAAAAAAATTGTGCCTATCTAACTGGTATGCATGGACTACCTATTTTAGTTTTAATCGTATAATGACTCACAATTGTTTCATGTTCATCGTCATGTTCAAAAACTAATTTTAATCGTCTTTTCAAACCAATTTAAAAAGGCAAGAAAAGTATACTTACCCAATAAACATTGACTTGTTCTGAAACTTATATTCACAAGGCTACATTTAATATCACCGCCCGTAGAAACAGGAAAATCTTCTCCCCGCCCCCCAAAAAAAAACCGAAAATCATTCTTTCTTCATCCATAACCCGGCGGGTGCTAAACACCCCGCTACGCCGGGATTATTCAAATTAACGCTTTGTCGAAGAGAGGCCAGCTAGAGAACAGTGCCAGCTGACCCACATGCGAATGAGCGGCCCAGCCGGCCTCTTGATCAGACGCCGTGTGACTACTATGCCGAGGTATGGATCAGCGGCCCTGGGCTGGAGATGGCCGGCCATCAAAAAGCTTTTCCCCAAAACATGGTACCTATACTACGTGCACGCCATGGGCACCACCAAATGCGATTGGGCCCGCACAGCAAGCACAGCCCGGGCCTTCCCCATAGCGACGCTGGCCAAAACCACCCGAAAAAAAAAAGGATGGTTTCCTCCCGGATATTCAGGGCCGTAGCGGAGGTGCCCAGGCATTGCTCCACTGGCCAGTGCTTGCACATAACGATGACATAAGCGATATTTTCTCACGTGCCGGCGCGCGCATGCAGGCGCGTATCTGGCACGGGCTGGAGGACGGCCCCGGACGTCGCTGATTTCGGTGCCCGCAGGGTCTGGAAGGCACGGGCATATACAGGCCTGTGTGTGGCGGCCACGTGCCTGCGCCGGGCCCGGCGCTGCCTCTTCGGTGCCGGGGCATGCTGCCCGGCCGGGCGCCGTCCGGGTAACGGCACTGATCTCAAATCGCGGCTAGCGCTGAGTCATTACCGCATTGGGCGGTTTTTTTTCCGATAGCGCCCATCATATATAGCCGGTGCAAAATCCCCCTGCTCTCTTTTGCCCTCCACCTTTTTCGTCCCACTTTTGCTAGCAGCCACCACCGCGTGCTTCCGGAAACTCACACCATGCTTTTCCGCAGTATCAGGGTAGCCCCCAGCAAAATGGCCGGCGTGGCCCGCGTGGCCTCGGTCCGGGCCAAGCTCGCTAAGCAGACGGGTGCCGTCAGAACCTTTGCCGTCAGCAGCCGCTGGCTAAACGCCGAGCCCGTGTACAAAGGCGGCGAGTACTTGAAAACGCTAGCCAGCCACGACCACGCGTTGGTGGACGTGTCGAAGGTGTTGGTGATCGGCTCGGGAGGGTTGTCCATCGGGCAGGCCGGGGAGTTTGACTACTCGGGCTCGCAGGCCATCAAAGCATTGAAGGAGGCCAACAAGCAGTCGGTGTTGATCAACCCCAACATCGCCACCAACCAGACGTCGCACCAGTTGGCGGACGAGATCTACTACTTGCCGGTGACGCCCGAGTACATCACGTACATCATCGAGCGGGAGAAGCCGGACGGCATCTTGTTGACGTTCGGCGGGCAGACCGGCTTGAACGTCGGCGTGCAGTTGGACAAGATGGGCGTGTTTGACCGCTACGGCGTCAAGGTGTTGGGCACGCCCATCAAGACCTTGGAGACGTCCGAGGACCGCGACCTCTTTGCGCAGGCGTTGAAGCAAATCGACATCCCCATCGCCGAGTCCATAGCCGTGGACACCGTGGACGACGCGTTGGCCGCGGCCGACGCCATCGGCTACCCGATCATCGTGCGCTCGGCCTACTCGTTGGGCGGCTTGGGCTCCGGGTTCGCGGCCAACAAAGACGAGCTCCGCGACTTGTGCTCGCGCTCGTTGTCCTTGGCCCCGCAGATCCTCGTGGAGAAGTCCTTGAAGGGCTGGAAGGAGGTGGAGTACGAGGTCGTGCGCGACCGCGTGGGCAACTGCATCACCGTGTGCAACATGGAGAACTTCGACCCGTTGGGCATCCACACCGGCGACTCCATCGTGGTGGCGCCCTCGCAGACCTTGTCGGACGAGGAGTACCACATGTTGCGGTCCGCGGCCATCAAGATCATCCGCCACTTGGGCGTGGTGGGCGAGTGCAACGTGCAGTATGCCTTGCAGCCGGACGGCTTGGACTACCGCGTGATCGAGGTCAACGCCCGCTTGTCGCGGTCGTCGGCCTTGGCGTCCAAAGCCACGGGCTACCCGTTGGCGTACACCGCGGCCAAGATCGCGTTGGGCCACACCTTGCCCGAGTTGCCCAACGCCGTGACCAAGACCACCACTGCCGGCTTCGAGCCCTCCTTGGACTACATGGTCACCAAGATCCCCAGATGGGACTTGGCCAAGTTCCAGCACGTCAAGCGCGACATCGGCTCGGCCATGAAGTCCGTGGGCGAGGTCATGGCCATCGGCCGCAACTTCGAGGAGTCCTTCCAGAAGGCCATCCGCCAGGTCGACCCCTCGTACGTCGGCTTCCAGGGCGACCACTTCGACAACTTGGACGACACCTTGGCCAACCCGACCGACCGCAGATGGTTGGCCGTGGGCCAGGCGTTGCTCCACGAGAACTACTCCGTGGACCGGGTGCACGACCTCACCAAGATCGACAAGTGGTTCTTGTACAAGTTGATGAACATCGTGCACATGTACCGTGAGTTGGAGGCCGCCGCCTCCTTGTCCAACGTCAACACGGACTTGATGAGCAGGGCCAAGAAGCTCGGCTTCTCCGACAAGCAGATCGCCATGTGCGTGCACCTGGCCGAGTTGGACGTGCGTGCCCTCAGGAAGTCCTATGGCATCACGCCGTTCGTCAAGAAAATCGACACCTTGGCCGCGGAGTTCCCCGCCAACACCAACTACTTGTACACCACCTACAACGCCACGTCCTCGGACATCGACTTCAACGAGCACGGCACCATGGTCTTGGGCTCGGGTGTGTACAGAATCGGCTCGTCCGTCGAGTTCGACTGGTGTGCCGTGGCCACCGCCAGAGCTTTGCGCAAGTCCGGCCACAAGACCATCATGATCAACTACAACCCGGAGACAGTGTCCACAGACTTCGACGAGGTCGACCGCTTGTACTTCGAGGAGCTTTCCTTGGAGCGTGTCTTGGACATCTACGAGTTGGAGACCGCGCAAGGCGTGGTCGTCTCCTTCGGGGGCCAGTTGCCCCAAAACATCGCCTTGGCCTTGCAGAACCAGGGCTGCAACGTGTTGGGCACTAACCCGGAGGACATCGACAAGGCCGAGGACAGACACAAGTTCTCCCAGATCTTGGACTCTATCGGCGTCGACCAGCCCCAATGGAAGGAGTTGACCTCCATCGAGGAGGCCGAGGCCTTTGCCAACGACGTCGGCTACCCGGTTTTGGTGAGACCCTCCTACGTCTTGTCGGGAGCCGCCATGTCGGTCATCAACTCGCAAAACGAGTTGGAGTCCAAGTTGTCCAACGCCTCCAAGGTGTCTCGCGACCACCCCGTGGTGATCTCCAAGTTTATCTCGGGCGCCCAGGAAATCGACATCGACGCCGTGGCCCACAACGGCGAGGTCTTGGTCCACGCTGTTTCCGAGCACGTGGAGAACGCAGGCGTCCACTCGGGGGACGCCACTTTGGTCTTGCCTCCTCAGAACTTGTCTCCTATCATCTTGCAAAGACTCAAGGTCATTGCCGACAAGGTTGCCGCGGCCTGGAAAATCACCGGTCCTTTCAACATGCAAGTCATCTTGAACGACAAGGAGGGCGCTTTGAACGACTCGGACGCTGAGCTCAAGGTCATCGAGTGCAACATCCGTGCCTCGCGTTCCTTCCCATTCGTGTCCAAGGTATTGGGCACCAACTTCATCGACGTCGCCACCAAGGCCCTTCTCAGTGAGAACGTTCCAAAGCCCGTCGACTTGATGGCTAAGGAGTACTCCCGTGTGGCCACCAAGGTGCCTCAATTCTCTTTCACTCGTTTGGCTGGTGCTGACCCATTTTTGGGTGTCGAGATGTCCTCTACCGGTGAGATTGCTTGCTTCGGTGACGACTTGGTCGAGGCCTACTGGACCTCGATCCAGTCCACAATGAACTTCAGCGTGCCTCTTCCCGGCACCGGTGTTTTGTTTGGTGGTGACTTGACCAACGAGAAGTTGGCCAATGTTGCCAAGACCATTTCTGGCCTCGGCTACAACTTCTACGCCGCTTCGCCAGATGTTGCCGAGTACATTTCCAAGAACGTCAGCGAGTCTGTCGAGGTGATCGAGTTCCCAAAGACCGACAAGAGAGCCTTGAGAGAGATTTTCCAGAAGCACCAGATTTCTGCGGTGTTCAACTTGGCCAAGGCCAGAGCCGAGAGCTTGTTGGATGAGGACTACGTCATGAGAAGAAATGCCATTGATTTCGGTATTCCTTTGTTCAACGAACCAAACACCACCCAGCTTTTCGCCGAGTGCTTGAAGGCCAAGATCGGTAACAAAGTCAACTTCGACACCATTCCTTCTTCTTTCGAGATTCCATCGGAGGTCAGAAGATGGAGTGAGTTTTTGGGAGGCAAGCCTGTTTGAGCGCAGACAGCAGATGGAAGACAGTACAGCACACATAATGTAAACAAGAGATGAGGAATTCAGATTCAAATAGAAATACATAAAGATCAATACCTAACGCTGTAGTACATTGGACTTGATGCGACAGTGGGATATGAATGCGACCCGTCAAATAGAGAGAACTCGGGCAAGCTGCCATCGGGCTGTTCGCGAGCCAACCTGGCTAGGTCAAGTCCTCGTCATCCTTTTCCACCACGGAGTTCTTGATCTTCAACAACAACTGGGTCTTCAACTTGTCTAATTTGCTGAATTGATCAAACTCGTATACGCGGTCGGAGAAAGCTTGCACATCACCATTTTGAATGGAGTCCAAGACATCCTCAATTAGCTTATATTCCCTCGTGGTGGGCCACGAAGGCTCGTCCTCTGCAAAAATGTTGAGCCGCTTCTGCGCCTCCACTATGTCGTCTAGGCAAAGGGTGCACAAGATGTTTTTCAAGAAATAATCCTTCAAGTTCCACTTAGTCAAGTTGTTCCCCACCAGATTCTTGATGATCGAGTCGTACAAATCACGTGCCTTCGAGTAGTCGCTCAGGAGGGCGTTTAAGTCCGCACACTTGAGATACGCCTTGTTCGAAAGGGCCTCGGCGTGGTCGGTCGAAAAGTAATCGCCTGCCTTTTCATAACTCAGAGAGGCGTTGGCCGCGTCGCCTGTTGTTTCGTACAATTCGGCCAAATCCATCTGGAAGTTCGCGGCTCTTCTAAACTGCCCGTTCTGGGTCAAGAATATATGGATGGCCTGTGACAAGGCGTCAATGGCATCAGGGGGCGACACGGACTTGAAGCATTTATATGCCTCGATAAGGTGGTTGGCCACGTCGTTGTGGTTTTTTAGCTCATTTTGCAACTCCGATGCCTTCACAAACTGCTGGCCGGCCATAGCAAAATCCTTGTTTAGTCTGTAATGGTTCCCGGCTTGGATGTACAAATCCGTGGCTTCTTCGAGGCGATAGGACGACGAGCCACCCAAAAAGGAAAAGAAGCCTTTCTGCGGCTTGGCCAACTTCTCAGCCTCAGCGATAATAGAGCGGGGGTCCAGCATGGTTCTTTAGGATACACTTGGAGATCGGATGTTCGCTCGGTTTTTTGTTTGTGTGTAAGTCAGACAGTAGGTGATGTTGGAGTTAAGATAGCTGGTATTAGAGCAGTGGTGAGACGGTCTATGAAGGACAGGCTGGGGGACCTGCGCACGCTCCCAGCGATCTAGCCTAAGATCATGATTGATTGATTATCCCTGGAGACGTGAACAAATTTCCATGTCATTTTGGGCAGTGTTTTCTGTTGTTTTGTGTGTTCTATTCTGGGTAGATAACCACTCTTTTGATACTTTCTCTTGAACTGATGTCGGAGGGAATCGGTGGTTTCTGCTGGGGCAATAAGCATGGCGCACTGGAAGTATATATCCTCTGCGCTCAATACACCAGTCTCCTGCTTTTTGATGCAGTCTTGCCCTTTTCTGACTGAATCAAAACTCCAGCCAATTTGTGTACTTTGGACGCTCTTTTGGTCTGTATTCCAGTGAGTATATTAGAGTCTTCCTGATCCGGCCCCATGTCAGATCAGCTGCAACATCCCAGTTGATCGCCATGAACAAGTGATGAGTTCTGGTGAAAACAAAAACAAGGTCTTGATTTGCTGAATTGATATGACTGCTGGCTTCTGTGGTTTACCCTGGCTCACCCTACAATAAAGACCGACAGGTCGTGCCTCGCACCTTCTCCAATGCATTTGAAACCTAGAATGTTCTACGAAACTGTGAATTATGATTTGGTGTAAATGCAGTAGACCGCCGCAGTCGAATTTTCCCCATTGCCCCCAAATCTGCCAGTTGATAACAAGTGCTTGATGTCGTGTCTTCTCATGCCTCTCTCACCCCACCATTTCCACCATGCGCGCAGTGGACCCTCAACGCGGTATACCTAAACAAACAAGCACTCTGCAGATATCACCTGTCAGCACCAATCCACCCATTCTATCCCGCCAATCCTGGGACCCATGACACAGAGGCATCATGGAGTATGAGAAAGTCCGCTTTGACCGGCTCAACCAGGTCGTGAAAAAGGCCGTGGAGCACACCATCAAAAAACTGTTGATGCCCGAACAGGTCTACAAATGTTTCCCCACCATATCCCGCTCTGACACGGGGCCCGACGCGCTTGAAAACGCCCGCAAACAGATGCAGACGTATTTTCATGACACGTGCGTCAAGCAGGTCAAGCACATCTTCACGGAACGGGACATCGAGCAGAAACTCAACGAGTTGGACGAGATCATCCAGCTGGCACAACAGGCTCGAGAAGGCAACACGCGGAAACAGATCGAGGTCGATAGGTTGGCCCCCGAGGAACTCATCAACGCAGGTTTGGCGGAACTGAAGCCTGATTCGGAGAAAAAGCTTGCCTTGATCTATGACCAGTTGGTCTTGGACAACCAGCGGTTGCAACAGGAACTAAGGGAGTTTGCCGAAGAGAGCCACGAACTAGCAGACGGAGTTGTTCTGCTGGTGGCAGAGCTCCTGGGCGAGGTGGACGAGATGATGAGACTGACGTTGAACGAAAACTTGAAGCTGCTCTCCGCGCAGTTTTTCGATGCTTATGTATAGACAAAGTTCCGGGCGACTGGCCGGGAACACAATGTTAAATTAGATTTGTGGCTGCGGGGCTTAACGAGACTGGAATCCTGTTTGGTAGGCTGTTGCTCGTGAAGAAAGGTTGAAATCTGGGAGGTGAAGACCAGTGGGTATCTGGTATGTGAAGACCGGTTGATATCTGGTATGTAAAGACTGGTTGGTATCTGGGATATTTAAATCGATTGGTATCTGAGATATGAAGACCGGTTGAGATCTGATATGTGAAGACCGTTGGTCTCTGGGATATTTAAACCGGCTGATACCTGTGATATTTAAACTGGTTGATTTCTGGATACAAGTGAAGCTCGAGCCTGCATTGCCAAGATTGAGCAGTGATTGTCGACCGTCATACAGGGTGTCCTCTATTGCAAAATCATATGGCCCAAACATATAGCCCACCTCGCCGTGCGCTGAGCTACACTGATTCAGGTCCCTACAAAGACCCTTTGCATCGGTGGGCGTGCCACGCACGGATAGCAGCACGCGTATAATATATATGTACAAGGAATCACTGGTTGAGCGCCGCGTAGTTCTGCTTCGCAAGCTTGTTGTAGTTGTTGACCTTCTTCTGCAAGTCCGCAAACTTCTGCTCCTTCTTCTGTTGCTTCTCCGACAACTTGACCAACTGCTTTTCGCCCCACACCTTGTAGTCCTGGAAGTACTGTCTGCCCATGGAGAACTCCGAGGTCACCACGTCGTCCGCCAAGCCCAACTTGGCAATGGTGTAGAAGTACTGCTGGGGGTTGTCTTTCTTCAAGTACTTCAACACACGCTGCCTGTGTTGGACCAACTCACGCACGACCTGGATGTGGCTGTGGTCCTTTGGCGACTCACGGATGTGGTTGAAGCCAAAGTGGATCTTGACCGTCATGATCGCAGCCTGCACCTCCGGCGACCCCGTGTCGCCATCGAAGCGCTCGAACTCTTTGCGGGCGAAGCTGATGGCCAACTTCTTTTTGTCCGCGGCATTGGTGTTCTTCATGTTCAAGATCGTCAACAACGCGCGTCTTTTCTTCTCCTCGGCCTCGCAGACCTGGTCCGTCACAATCGTGCCGCCGATGCTGCTGTCCAACGCGGCTTTTTGTGCACCGTAGAGGAGTTTTTCGAGCTCCTCGCGCTTGTAGCCATATGCCAAATTGGAGGGCTCGGCAATCTCGTCCCTCATACGCTGCAAAAACTGCACCAGCTCATCACCCAAAACAGGGTCCACCGAGAACTCGGTTTGTTTAAAGTTGTGCTGCTTCAAGTTGTTGACGTCTCGGGTGATCATTTTCTTCAACCTGATTTCCTTCTTTCTCAACCCAAGAAGTTTTTTATCCAGAGCGCCTTTCTGGGGGATCTGCTTGGCTGCCCAGAGCGGCAGGATTTTCTGGGAAGCTGCCGCGGCTTTCTTTAGAGAGCCTTCCGCGGTGGCCAAATTTCTTGTCTGCAACCGAAACATGTGGGTGATTTTAGCGCTGCTGCTAGCGGTTTAAACAGTGTTTGACTTTCGCTGGAGATGGAGGTTTTGCTGGACTCGCGGGATTTATGGTGCGGCGCACGACCGTGGGTTTTTGAAGCACGCTATAAACGGATAATTGAGAGTGCTTTGCATGATTTGGTATAAAGATTGGTCATGAGGCTTGATTTGGCTCTGTGTTAATGTTGAGATCAAGATTCTAGCCATGGTCTTGGTTTGATGTTCTGATATGACTCTACCGAAGTGAGTGGGCAATTCCACCTCAAGTCGCACCATGCCCCTAAGATTGAAATCGCGTGCTCCATGAATGCTTTTTCGTTTTCCTTTGGTTGGAAAAATATATACCTCCGGCCAGTATCTCAGCCCGTCGAATGAAAAAGAAATAGTCTATGCGTCGGATTGGAAGTTGTGTTTTTCTGTGTACAACATTATTCCATCGCTTTTAAAAAAGGAGCCTGGTGTTTGCATCCAATAATGTTTAATGATCTCATGCTAATATTCCGCCCAAATTGTGAATCACCTTCAAAAATCAAGGTCCCCCTACCCAGGACTCCTACATCATTGCACAATCAATTCAAACACCGCATTATTTCTTGCTGCAAAACCAGGGTCGTTGACCTAATAAATGCCTCATACCTTCTGAATCATCTGAAAGTAGCTTTTTGTTCTTGTTCTGATACTCAAGGTTACCTCCGCCTGCCTTATTTGTTTTAAGATTGATCTGATTAAAGGAGCAAAATATGCATTAAATATATATAAAAAACCTTCAAACAGCTCCCAGCTACGTACCAAATGTCGAAACACGACCCACCCCCCAACGTTAGACAAGTCTCATCTGGTAGTCGCCTTAACTTGGATGGTTGGAGCGGGTTTAAGGATCTTACTTTCGAAACTTTGAACATATTGTCTCTTTTCGTAGACTCCGAAGATGCATCGGCTCTTTATACAACGTGCAATCCGTTATATCTGAAAATGTAGGGCGAAAAAAAAGAATTGAATGGTCCCTAGCAGGATCGAACTGCTGATCTTGGCGTTATTAGCACCACGCCTTAACCAACTGGGCCAAGGGACCTTCTTGTTGATGTGAAAAAGGTAGGAAAAATAAGTGAGCGTATTGTAGTGAAGGAGAAGCTAGCTCCTTTGGATACTTCCTTTGATAATCCACGAAGCCTTAATGGGGGATTTGAAGTCCTTTTTTTGATGGTATGTTAAGGTCCTTTGCTTGGCGAGTCAGTGGGCTCCCTAAGGCCGCTACAACCATCTAAGTTGAAGCGACTACTACAGGAGACCTATCCTAGGAGTCGATGACGTAATATCCAATATGCAAACAGATACGGGCCATGAAGACCATCCTGGCCGTGAATAATGGAAGGGTACGGGCGAAACTAAGACACTTGGTACGTAGCTGGGAGCTTTCTAAAGGTTTATATGGTGTATAGTTTTGGTCCTTCAAATCAGATGAATCTAGCAGAAAATAATGCTCATCTTTCGTAAAGCAAAACCATGAGATGAGATCTTGAGTCACTTATACCGTGTATGGAGCACTTTAACTTTGAAGCGCAAGGCTGGCTTTACAGTACCCATGAAGTCAAAGGAAAGACCTTTCATCAAACACATCATTCGAGGATCTACATCATCATAGCTGGTTTATCAAAACAGTGAAGGGAATATAAATACAGGCTCAGAAAGACGGAGATTGCATCTTTAGTCCCTCCATGGCAGTGATTTTCTTTGGTTTTGGGCTTGTTTGTTTCAAAGTTTCTCAATACTTTTTCCCTATACTCATATAAACGAAAAAGACAATTTCCAATAACGAAGAGATGTTCCCACTTTTTGTTAAACCAAAGACACTTTCATGGGCGGAAGTTCCTGAAATTCTTTTGACCGCAAGATACAGCTGTTATTCAATAACATGAAAAACTTTTCGTACTTTTGGCCCCATTTACTGTTAAATCGTTCTTTGTTTGCTGGCCCTTTGACCCATTGTATTTCCTTTTTTGGCAATATTGTTTTCCATACATGATGATTTACTATTCATTGGATAATCATGACCTTGACTTGCCCTTCCGAAAAAGCATTTACGAGTCTTTTGAGGCATTTATCAATATACCCATGTGTTCCCTAGGATGGTCTGGTCTAATAGAGATTTCTGTTGCACACAGGGAAGCCGTGGGTTTTATTAAGATCATTGCCCTATGGTATTTGAGTTGATGTAGTACCCCTGGTTTTCCCGGCCTATAAGCATGTCCGCAAATCTCTGATTATCATCTTGAGGACGGGTATTTCTCACTTTTTGATTTGTGTAGAGGGGTAGGGTATTTGCGGACTGCCTCTAGAATGTCAAGACTATGTTCTAGCAATTGTATATCCAATTAGCCAAAAATATGGTCCCTAGCAGGATCGAACTGCTGATCTTGGCGTTATTAGCACCACGCCTTAACCAACTGGGCCAAGGGACCTTGTTCGAATTCCAGGAAGTGCAATAAAGCACATTTGATACATATCAAGAGAAATATCAATACATTTGCGGACTGAAGATATGTTATATCTCAGCTTTTTAGATATCCAGAACTATGAAAAGCAAAGATAGGCCACCCCTACAGCTAAACATTGCTTCATCTTCTCATAACGGCGAAATTTGTTGGGGAGGGGTCATGAGCTGTTGGAATTCATTCATATTCAATCACGGCTCCTGTGTGCCTTTTCAAAATAATGAAGTGGGCACGTAAAGATTCGAATGCAGATTGTGTTTGAAAAGCTGCTATAGCGACCACCTCTACAATGAGTGTGAGATATTATGGCAAAAGATTGGCTTTCAACTCCAATGCGCTACAGGAAATGCTAGCTTCTTTAAATACTTCCTTTGATAATTTAAAAACCCATACTTGGTTTGTCAAAGTCGTTCGCAGGGTGTGTTTGCTTAAGGACCAGGAGGCAAAGGCAAATATACGTCTTGCCGCTTTGTCAAATGAACTATGGCCACAGGCCCTCAGGAAAACATATCCTATGGGACGATGTCAATTAGTTAGTTATATTCAAGTGGTGGAAATTGGCTATGGGCAGAAGCCTTTCATCTACCAGAAAAAAAAGGGCGGCCTAGTACCCTCTTTACTCCTTAAATTCCCTTTACTAGCATGTTCCCGGATGAACTATTCCTTCATGAGCTATTCTTGACTTCTTTCCTATTATTATTCTATTACCCTATGTACTCCTACTAACCGTAACAACATTGACCAAAAGAGAGAATTCTAATGTTGGTATTTAGAACTAAATCGTAACTTTAGTGTCTTTGTGCTGCGATAGTTCGGTTCTAATTTCCTCAAGATAACTATAGTTCCATAGGAATAACAATCGTATGTGCGGTCACATCCTCTTTAGGAGATTTCGTGAATTGGTGCTCGCGTCTAACCCGAGCCAATGTTGCGATCTATCATGGCTTTTTTCTTTATAGTATTTCGTAGTGGTGGGGTTACAATACTCCAGTCTATAATATGAAGATTCTTTTAAAAAAGACGGAGGCGGGCCGAGCTGCGACACTTGTTACGTAGGTGGAGTTGTCTAAAGGTTTCTTATGTATTATGTATTGCTCCATCAGATGTATCTACCAAAAAAGTGCGCTCGGTCCAAGCTGTATACCAAGAGATTTACAAGGGTTTGTGAACAAATTGTTTGGCTTTTCGTTTTGCTGACGTCATCCTGCAAAAACCAGATTCACCATGCAAAAGCGAGGAATGCCTCGGGATCGTTCAATGTCGCCCCCAGTGCTCACGCGACACTTTAATTTTTTTTGCATATGACGCAAGAACGGCTGATTTCTTCAAAGTCACTAGCCGCTTGCTGTTGACTTTTTGAATCAGGAGAATGATCGTGGCAGGCCCGTTCCCTCTTTTCCTCTTTTCTTCGGTATTCTTTCTTTTTATTTTCCATTTCAAGGGATCTCTGGAAAGACACTCGCGCCTAATTTGACATGTCTCGGCTTTCAATTTCGCGAGAACATCTGACGTTCAGCCCCGAACACTCAGAATATATGACCAGGACTAAATTTAAGTCAGCCCCTGACATCTCGTATCATAAAAACCAGGTCTACTAGTTCTTTTTTAGGAACACTCCACATTCTTGGAATATTCAATGAGGCTTGAGAATATCAATAGAGGTCTAGCGCACCTCTACCCGTGTAATCACACTAATAGTTGGACTTTCAAGTCAGATTCCATGTGTGCCTGCTAATTTATGATCCAGTGCTTGGAAGTATTTTCATGTACATATGAAATGTCGAATAAACAAATATGTGCATCATGTCCATGTTTGCTCATAATAGATTACGACCCTCAAAATAATCAAGGTGACGTTTGACTCAAAGATGTGGATTGTCTACCTACGCATGGAAGAGTAGCCCAAGGAATACACCTCCAAACGGAAGGAAATTAACTGAGTATAATAGGCAAGTCAACCCTTAATATATGCCTACCCGATAAATCATTACACTATAAAATTTTACTCTCTGGGGATATGTAACCTTCGGTCATCAATGAAAATTTTTGTTTTGGGTATTCACGTCTTTCATGCCTCCCACCTTGGTATATATTGGCACACTGAGACGATGGGCCCAGGGCAGCGAAAAGCTCGACAGAGTAAACTCAGAAGAGCGCCACAACACATCACAAAAGACAAAAGAACACACGAAACCACGGAGAACACAAACGCCGCCGAGCCGCAATGAATGGCAAAGACCACAACACGAAAAAACCACAATGAAAAAAAAAAAAACACGACAAAAAACCACGACAAACACCCACAATGAACGGCGAAAAAACAGAGCCGGCATAAACGCACCGAGCCTCCGCGCCCCGCCCCGCGGCCCACCGCGGCCCCGGCAGTAGGGCCAAAACGGCGCGCGCCACGGCACCAGCAGATGGCCCCAAAGAGCACCCGCAGATGGCCCCAAATAGCACCAAGCCCTGGGCCCCAGCAGCCGGGCCCGTGGCCGTCGTCAGAAATGGCGTGCGCTCCGTGGCCCCGTACTACCACGAATACAAGACCCCGGCCAAAGAACGGTGGTGGGGCAGTCTGGTCCCGCACGTGCTCCAGAGCGAGCTAGGCCAGGCCGAGGCCGCGGTGCGCTCGGCCATAGCGGCGGGCCGTCTTTTCGTGACGGCCAACAACGGCAAGGCGGGCGGCCCGGTGGCCATCTCGGGCACGGCGGTGGATCTGCACCGGCTCCAGGGCCACGACGTGATCCACCACTTGCAGCACTGCCACGAGCCGGATGTGCGAGTGGCGGACGCCAGCTTTCTGGGTTGTGGCCCCGGTTCTCTGACTTGTGGCCCCGGTTCTCTGGGTTGTGGCCCCAG